TTACCTAATGAGTGAACTCAAAAGAATCGCTAGTGACTTCACACAAGAACTATCAAAGTAAAATCAATAAACAAATTATACACTCTGAAAACAAATATCTTTTTTAAAGTCGGGAAACTTGTTCCTACCAGCAAGACACTTAAAGTGCCTTTTTAAAAGAAGTTTGCCAGTCCAAGTGTTTTTTCTAAAGATAATTTGAGTAAGTGAAAAAGTGATTTCAAAACATGGCTCACCTTTGGAACCTGTGCGAAACCTTAGGTTCAGAAGCTAAAATTTTAAAATTGTACTATAAAATAAATGAAATTTTATTTTACAATGAGAAGTATACGTGATATGTATTAGAGATAGGTGTAAGATAATACAGAAAAAATTCAGATACACAGACTTAATCAGAAAATTATAAAAAAATCATTAAGGCCAAGCCACCCTTGGCTCCCCACCTTAAATTTTGATTTAATAAGTTGTTTCACTTTAATAAGTTATTAAATATGTCAAAATGTATTTTGTTTTCTATGTATATGTGTGTTTTCCTTTCATCCAGTTAATCAATTTTTTTAAATAATATTTTCTCTTGAATATTCTCGCGCCACCCCTCTGGTGTGCTCGCGCCCCCCTAGGGGGCCGCGCCCCACAGGTTGAGAATCGCTGGTGTAATGAAATCCAGGCAATGGCATTATACTTTTAAAACATTAATGTATGGAATACCGAGATTACTCAAGTGATAGAGTGTTCGCCTTCCAATGAGGTAAACCCGGTTCGAATCCCAGTGATTACTGGTCGATACGAATTCCGCATCCGGTTTGCACCGATCACAGTGCTGACGTGAGACACAGTGGTAGACGGATCATAGGTTAGAGTCCCCTTGCCATCAGGTCAACCGTGGGAGGTTCTCGTGGTTTTCCTGTCCATGTAAAGCGAATGTGGGTTAGTTCCATCAAAAGTCCTCCATGGAGGCACATTTCTCCCAATCGAGGAGTTCCCTTGTCTTCTGGATTGGGTTCAATATTACGTGGCTACAGACACGAACATTAGTAGTCGTAAACCCAAAAAATAGGGCCGGCAGTTCAACGACGGTTATAAAATAAAATAAAATGTAAAAAATACCAGGTAAGACCATATTGCACAAGCATGCAGTGATAGTCTTTCATTTCCAAGTTAACTCCCAGTGGGGATAAGATTTTTGCTTTTTTTTTCTCCGTAGATTTAGAAAGGTAGGAAATACATTGTCTCTCAGTAAGCAATTTTTGAAGCAAAGTACTATTGCCCGGTATTTCTTGCACTGATGTATTTCAAGTTTAAACACTATTAAGGTATTCTCTACATGTGAAGGCTTTCTTCATTTTACGAATACTTTTTGCTTCTTCTAATAAAGGTTATGCTAGCTAAATTTTAAATTTGTTTAAATAAGTCTTCTTGAAAGAAGTTAAAGTTCTAGAGAAAATTTTGAAAATTGAAGATTAGTTAAATATGAACTATGCTAACAGTGTTTTGCGCAAAACTGTGCCATAAAGCACTGTTAAAAACTTTTTTGCGGAGGATCATTTCTCGAAGTTGATATACTTCAAGAGATATGTTAAAAAGTGTCCTTTTTAAGAAACGTTTTCTTAAAATTCTCGACACGCATAAGTTTTTTTTTTAAAAATAAATATATATATTTTTCTTTTCATTTGAGAGATTTTTAAAAATTTAGTAAGAATTTGATTTTTAGATTATATTTTTTATGGTATCATACTAAGTTTATGAAAAGAAAACGGAACAACAACAACATGAAAACTCATTACACACTGGAAGAAATTCCGGATCAAATTACAGTAAAACATACCAGCACTCCGGGTGCCGGCATTTTTAAAACTAAAATTCATTTTTTCCAAAAAATGCTAGGGAGCAAAAAATCTGAAAAACCGTAATTCTTACAGTTATAATTTCAGTAAAAATCACTCTAATTAACTAATATTACTGCAAAAATTACGGAATTATATTTTTACAGTAAAGATGGATTTTACGGCAAAATGGGCTTTACGGATGATGCACCCAAAGTACAGGTACTTAATGCTGTAACTTGATCTGATTTTTTTCTGCAGTGCAGTTGTATTGATAAAATTTTTTAAATGAATATTTGTGCAAAAGCTCTCCGTAAATTAATAGAAATAACGTATGAAAGGGGCATGTAATTCGCAGCAAAGTGGGAAATGTTGGCATTGTATACAATGATGTTCGTTTCTAGGCAAAATATGAAAAAAGAGAAATAATGCATATTTTATCTAAGCATTTAATACAATGCCTAGTCATTGTCTTTGCTATGGTAAGTCTAACAAACTGCTGGTGATTATGTATAATTACAGTTAATTATTCATAATCACCAAAAAATTTAGCAAACGCGATGAATTATTAATTCATGAAATCTGAATTATTGAAACATGATTAATTACCAAATACACCGGTTTATTCACATAATTGCCGGAGTAAAGAAACGTGGATAAACATTTTTGAGTAAAAATGAATATTTTTAAATGCATTGAAAATATTCGTTTTTAGGAATTAGAAGAACGTTAGAAGGTCTATTAATGGGTAATTTTCAAAATGGAGAATAATTTAGAATTTTTTTTAAAAAACTTAAATATTTAAATTACTACTTTTAAAAAATTTAGCTGCCTTTGGAATGTTCCTTATACATAAAGCTTAAAACAGCAGGGCACTTTTTTATTTGGAAAATAAAATAAAATATTGTTTATTAATGTTTCCCCCTCTATTATTTCCCTCTTTTTCACTAATGTTCAAAAATATTAATTAAAAAAAAATAAAATAATAAACTTGAAACAGTAAACATTGTATTTTTTACAATTTACATCACGTTACCAACATACAGCATTATTTATTTTTCTATATTATTATTTTTATTATTATAAATGTAAAAATATCCCCCCCCCTGTTACTTTTTGCGAAAACATTGTAAGTAAATCTTCTATCTAACATTTCAAGTTAATTCCTAAAAAAAAAATGTTCCATAACCTTTTTTAAGAAAGGAGTATACTAAGCAATGGATCTTTTCATGGAGAAAGATAATGATTTTACTGTATACTGAGGAAGTGTATATTGGAAAATGGCTCACACATTCCTGCAAGATTGTTATCCCTCTTATTCAGATTATAATTTATAATACATGACTGTTATAAAGAATTTATGCTTTTATATTAAAAAAAGAAATGCCGACCGGCCTGAGCAGGGGTCAGGGAGATGGTCTTGCATCAGAAAGGTTCTGGGTTCGAATACCGGGAAAAGCATAGATGTTCTTTCATTCTCTGTACTATCTGTCCTTTCGGTGGGAGCAACGTTGGCCCACCTAATATGGTGCCTCTGAAAGAGTGGCCAACAAATCTGCCCATCAAATGGCTGTATTGACGAAAGGTCATTCCCCTGGTGGGCATTGGAAGAAAAAAACATTAATCTAATTGAACCAAGAAGTAACTTTAACTAATACTAATAAATCATACTTATACAAACTAAGAATATGAAATATTAATATTTCCTATTTTACCTATTTGTCATTTGGCATTGTACTTAATGCATAGGTATTGGGAAAAATATTTGATCGTTTCTAATTTTGTTGATTTTCGGCATTAAATACAATGATGTACTTCCCGTTTTGTCTGTAACATAAGCAAAAAAATTACTGTAAGGGACAATGTTCTTATTGTGTTGAAATTTCAAGTTTTGAGGAAAAGCCAACTAAAGGAACAGGTAGTCTAGACAGGTTTTTAAAAAGCTTAAAAATGCTTCCAATACAGTTTCTTTAAAATCTCTTTTAGAGTCATTAGAGCTGGAATTTTATTAGGAAGCAAAAATTGAAACATATGATTTTGGTTTCAAAAACTGCTTAGTGAAAGTAATTAAATTTTCTATCAAAGAAAACAACAACAACAAATTAAAAACTTTACGAGATTATTATTAAAACTAAAGAATAATTACATAATCAAACGTGAACTTGGAGATCAAAATTCGACCATGACCTATATGGAAACATTTACATATTGATTAAAGTTTCCGATTTGAATATTACTACGTTACTTTCAATGGAAATATTGATAGCTCTCCCCACTTACTTTTTCAGTACCCAGATTTTGATTATTCAGATTTCGATTTTTTTTTAAGATCAATCAAATCCTCATAAAGCCTACGTATCTATAGCCTCCAAGGTTATTATAAAGACAATTGGTTACAGTTCAGCAATGTAAAATTTTAAATCCTTTACTGCTCAACAATGAATTTTAATATTTATTCATCTTTGAATGAACAGTTACTTATGTTCAAAAATGATTCCTATCTTCTCTGTTCGATTGGCGATTTATCTTCGATTCACGCTGCAGGAAGATATTTGAGATATGTCAACAGAGGTTTATAAGTCGCCAGTTAAGAGCCTTAACTTTTTCTTCCTTAATAATTTTGGTATAAAAAGGGTGGAATTTTAGCCACTTGATAGTTCTAACAACCAAATTATTTAAAAATGTTTCCTCCATTGCGGCATAGTAGGTTTTTATTGTTTCTTTCAGCAGTAGTACTCTTAGTAAAAAATGGTAAGTTTATAATTTGTGTTTTATCAGTATTGTGTTTTATCAAGATTTCTTTTTATTTTATACCTTGAAATATGCTGAAATACGAACCAATCTGAGTTTGAATTATTAATAAAAGGAAATGTTTTTCCTAATTTTTTTAAAAATTTAATTGATGCTGATTCTATTAACTTATATTATTAGTATGTAAGTTAATTGAAGTAAAAAAATTGTAAGTTCATATTCAGAACTTTATTATTAAAAAGTTTTGGTTTTTACAGCTGAAGGCATTTTTAAAAAATGAAATTATTTCATCTTGATCCATTTTGGTATTATCATTTATATGCAAGTTCTTTTTTAAATTGTCTTTAATTTAGCTTAAATTTATTATATTTACTTATATTGTAATTTAACTTAAGTAAATAATATTAATTTCAAAATATGGATATCTATAATTTAAGATGTTTCCTTTTTAGTAGGTTAAAATAGTTTAAAGACGAAATTACGTCTAATTCTGATTCAAAATTATTAAACATGCAAATTTTTCTTCAACTTGTTGACAATTTAACATACACTCAATTAAAATTTAAAACTCTTAACTCTTACTCATTTATTAACACCAAATTTATAGACTTCTCTAAATGCGATTTGTATTAGGTTATTTCGTAACTAATAGAGATTAAAATTTTTACAGCGATAAGAAGAATTAGTGTACGCTTCAAAACACTGTAGAAAAGTACTAAAAGTTTAACAATAGTTGAATTTTCGGTATGAGCAACAGACAAAATCAAGATTTGAAAAGCTCACTGTCTCCCCTATGTACAAAAAAAAAAAAAAAAAAAAAATAATAATTTAAAAATTCGAAGCAGTGATTCGCAATGATTTTTTTACGTATCATCTACAAGCTCTGAAATAATTTTTATTCTACTTGAGCTGAGTTTTCATCAAAAAGTGATAAATAAACTGCTAATTAATATTTTTAATATTCATAATTATAGTTGTCACATAAATATCAATGGAATTTTTATGAAACGATAATTGAAAAAAAAATGAAGTAAATGCTTAGAAAGCTGAATAGTTATATAGTGAATAGGTACATAAAAAAGGAATATTTCAATACAATAAGAAGAAAAAGCAAAATAAATAGTTTTTTAAGCTCAATTTCATTCTAAATAAATATTGTAGGTTTTATATATGATTGATAAATGTTCAAAAAATAATTGAAAAACCAAATGACTAAATATTAATTGGAAAGTAAAAAGGGAAATATTAATAAGTTCAAATTCCAGTTGAAGTAGATTTTGTACAGTAAAAAGATACAGTTATTTTAAGTATCGGTTAGAAACCTTTCCAGTGAAAAATTTCGCTTAAAATATTCATAATTACAGAATGTTCATAAAAATTCATAGAAAAATATTTCAGAAAAGTAATAAAACTAAAGTTCCCGAAGAAATTCATAAAAAGATGAACGACAAAAGCTGAATGATGGAGTTTAAAAATTAAGTTTATATAACAAAGAAAAAAAGGAAATAAAATTATTCTTGTAATTTTAATTCTTTTTGAAACAGCTGTTGCTAAATATATTTTGGAGTGGTTTTCAACATCTATTTAAGATGCAAATGAAAAAAAAAATAATTTCACAGTTAGAAGGAATAAGATACTTGCAAACAATGCAGAAAATATTTAGTTATTCTTTTTTTTTTTTAACTTTTGTCTAAAATATTTATAAAAATACGTTATTGAATTGTTGTTAACTGTTGAATTGTGAGGATTTAGGTTCAAAAGCTAATTTTCAACTAAGATTTTTTTAAATCAGTTTAAAAACAGAAAATTTTATAGTCATTTTGTACATCGTCTGTACCCCAAATGGTACGCTATTCACCAGGAGAACTTTTTGGTAACTGCATAAAAATATTAGAATTGCATTATTAACTAACACTTTCGTATTCGGTAAAAATTATAAGAAATATGTTACAATAAATTTTTATTTTCACATTAAAATTGTTTTATGCGAAAGAAAGTAATAATACTTGAGAGTTATATAATTTTAGCTGTAGTCTTATGATTGTAAAAAATTTAATTTCAGCATTGCTTACGTTAATTTTTAACAGTTAATTTATAAGCATCTATATACTTACACTGTAAAACTTTCCAGATCAATTACGATGTAAAGTAACGGCACTTTTGGTGCATCATCTGTAAAATCCTTTTTCACCGCAAATATTATACAGATATTTTTTCACTGACATTTATTTAATGGGAGGGATTCGGTAATTTTAAGGTAATTATTTTTGTAAAAATCACAGTATATTAGATTCATATTCTTATGAAGTTTTTATAGACAGTTCAAATAAGACCAATATATGTTTTCTTAAAAAAACAAGCAAAAACAATTATTGTAAATTAACAATGTAATTTTATGGGTTCGGGATAAATACTTTTGATGATAATTTTATCCATGCATTGATGTTACTGTTTTACTATTAAATGCAACTAAATTTAACTAAAATTTTTGATGATAATTTTATCTATATATTGATATTACTGCTCTACTATTAAATTTAACTAAACTGATTTTTAATCGACGTTTCAGGTGATCTTTTTTTACTTTTTTTAAAGCAATAAATAAAAATTAGAAATTTATTAAAAATGTCAGAGGATAAATAATAATAATAATAAGAAGAAAAACATTTTTACGTTGTATACTTCATTATTAAAAAACTTTTTTAGTTATATTTTTATGCAATTAAAAATTTTCCTCTTTTTTAATTGTTTAATATAAAAATTCATTAATTAGACATTTTTTTTTACAAGAATGTGAATTAGAAATGCAGAATTTTTTACGGTTTTAAAAGGAACAGAGGGAGAATTTAGCTTAATACGTAAAGCAAGAATTAATTCAAAATTGTAATTCAGAGAATGTAAGATATAACAATTTCATTTTAAAATGTTCACGAAAATTTACTTCAATATAAATTCTAATTTTACGTTTTGTTGTGGAATAGATCAAATTATTTTTAACTGTGATTTTATTTTATTTTGCTACCAACATTAAAACAAACAATCTATATTGGTTTTGCGACTATTAAATGTTGAATTTGGAAGCCGCGTAACTTTGAACGCAACCCTAAAAACTAGGAAACTTCTTAAAGAATTGGAACAAACTCGGAGGACTAGCATTTGCGTAGCATGAAGAGGAAAAATCACAAAAATTTACCACAGTTAGTCTGATGGTAAAAGATTTTAATCCACGATGATTGTTTGCGTTTTGCATTGCAATCAGGGAGAACCGGGGTACACGAATCAATCAACCATATCGTCCGGACTCTAACCTGTGTCCTCTCACTGAAAGCGAATACTTTATGCCCTGAGCCAGTCCGGTTCCATTAATGCAAACAATTTGATTTATGGAAACAATTTAAATCTTATAACGTAATACTAAGATGTATTTTTATTGTTGATGCATTTACGGAGCAAATAATTTTAGTATGATCAAGCGAAAATACTATTTTTATACGAACTTTCGTACTTTGAAGATAAATATAATATTTTGAAGAGGAATTTTCTGCATTTGACACTTCCAAAAAAAATATTTGAATTATTGAAATAAAATATTGAGCAAATTTACTTGTATTTCAATTTAAAAATAAGTTATATTTACTTTTAAATTATCCTAATACTTGGTTCTTTTTTTTATAATGTAGAAGTAAATGCTCAAGCAGTAGCAAGTGCAGGTGCAGGTAGTGCAAGTGCTGGTGCTGTTAGTAGTAGTAGTAGTGGCGGTAAGTTTTATTTATTTATTTGTTTTACAGAAAATAAGCTAAACATTTTAAAGTAAAGAAATAATTAAAGCTATCAAGTTCAATAATACATTGATGTTAATTTTTTGAACTTTTTATTCATTTATTAGATTACATTATATTTGTAATTAATTATTTGAAAAAAATTATTTAAATTCATGAAACATTTAAAAACGGAGTTTTAAAAATTCATTTACATTTCTTCGTTTGGGATTGATTTATTAATATCTTACTAAGATTAATAATTTTTTTTTAACTGGAGGATTCTCAGGAGGTAAGCATTATACTCATTGCTATAAAATGCTAAATAAATACTCAATTAATGTTAAGTTTTTCTTCCTGATGGAATATGCCAACAGCGCATGTAAACTGAGTCTAAGTGATACTTCATATGTTTTTTTTTGGATATGCACATGCACAATTAATGTAACTTAGACGTTTTAGTTATTTTAGGCGTCATACAGTCGCAAAGTTAATAAAATTTATTATTTTATTTATTTTAGTATTATATTATTGTTTTCAAACAATTATGAGATTCAATCAAGACACGCAATAATACCTAAAAAGAATAACTTCTGAGACGACCCGTGCATCCCTCACATCTCTTTTTTCCTGCTGGATGATTTATTCAGTTGAATTGTTTAAAAATTACGCAGGGTGCTCCATAAAGACCACCTTTAATATATAGATATAGTATCCTTGTAGAAAATAGCGTCTAAAAGGGTAAAATCAACCAACACTAAAAGTAACTCAACCCAAAGAGAAGCTTCTGGATTAAGCATTGGGACAAACTAGGCTTTGTGGAGGACTTTTTGAGGGGTTTTGACGGCTGGGAGCAGAATTCGTTCAGACCAGCCAACTCTGCGATTCGAACCTGAGACACCTCATTGGGAGGCGAGCCGTCTGTATTCTGAGCTACCGCAGCTCGACACACTTCAATTAAGAAAAAATGGCATACAGAGCACCAAAACATGTGAGATTCTCGGTGAAATCTCGAAATTATTTCTTTTGGTGTCTCTACAGAGACCTTCTTCAACAGTGATAGCATTCTTGACAGCATTTTGATAGCAAATTTGGATAGCATTTTTGTTTTTTTCCTTACTTAAATATTAATTTACGATCCTCAATACGTAAGCTTTGTATTCATTTTGAAAAAGATTAAGATATATACATTGAGGGTGGTATTTAAGGAACACTCTGTGTTGAAGAAACACAAAGAAATATTGCTAAAACAGTTCAATAATTATAGATACGAATTGTCAGTGGTATTTACGGAGCACTCTAAGCTTAAAAAACCCCAAAGAAAATATTGATAAAACAGCTCAATAATTATAGATAAGTATTCCCAGCTACCTCTCGTCAGCGAATAAGGAAAACAGAATTCCAAAAGAAACATTATTCCTTCAAACATTTATTATACCTACTACTAGATTTTTTTTTTCTTAGAAAATACTATTATTTGTACAGCTGTTGACCCTTAGAATAAAAACATTTATTGCGTAATAAAAATTTAATTTGTAAATATATTTGAGATGCATCTTATTTGGATAAAATAAAAATTATATTCAGTGTTTTTTTGTTTATTATGGAAAGTCAAAATTATGATGCATTTAAAGTAGATGTAGTAGTTAAAGTAGATGCAGATGTAACAAAAAAAGGTTTCATTGAAGTCTATATGAGCATGAAATAATAAAAGATTCTCTCTTAATAGGTCTAGTAGAACTCTGCTCTCATATTTTCTTTAAGAGTGACATAAAATGAGCTTTTAAATTTTGTACAAACAACTGTCTATTTTTATCGAAAAATTGAGAAACCAAAAAATTTCTTCGACATGCCTTATTTTATTCAAAAATATCTTCTCCTGCGCTGTCTAATATATTTTATTCCAATAAAAAATTGGTTCAATTTTGAATTATAATATTGGTTAATTTGCCAATTTGTTACAACTTGAAATGTGCTATTAAGTTTTCGTTGGATTTGACCTATAGCATGGATTATTCAAATTTAGAACGGTATACTTTGCACTGTAATTTTTGTTTAAATTGGAAACATATTAATTTTACAGCGAATTTAAACGGCTTATGGTTCAACACGCACCAAAAGTTTGCACAATTTTCCTTAAAGTTAGTGAAAACGATTCGATTGCTGGAAACCTTTAAAAATAAATGAAAATCTAAATGAAAATTCGATGAAAATCTAAATGTAATGATTTAGCAAGAAATATTTTATAATATGGAGAGGAATATTTATAAAATTTAAATTTATAAATAATAAATATTTTTCTGAATGGTTTTTTAGAATCTAATTGAAACTTTGATTACAGATTAAAATAAAACAAACTTAGACCCGTTTTAAACATTTAAATATTCTACACTGTTTGAAATTTTACAGCATATAGAGGCATAATATCGGTTAAGTTTATTGAAATTTTTATACATGGCAAGTGTTGAATCATATTATCGAGCAAGTTACTTCTTCTGGAACATTGACATTGAAGCCGAGTCGCTATTTAGTTCCTGGTGCCTCATGGCTTCCTTAGATGTCAGTCTGCCTCTAGTTTTAGACTTGTGGATTAATAATCAAAATATGAATGACTCTAAAATCCGGGCAATTGCATTTTCTTCTTTTGAAAATCGTACGTATACACAGACGGTTAAATGTTTCAGAAACGTATTGGAATCGGTGCTTTTTTTTTCGTTTCTTTTCTTTCTACAACAAGGCCGTTCGCAGAGAAATTACTAGTTTCGACAAAAAATTGGAATTTATTTTTATTGACTCGTTACAAATTATGGAGTTGAAGCGAAAATTTATTAATGCAGTTATACTATTTGATTCCCAGTCTGATTTACAGGCCTTAACAAAGCATTCAGTTCTTCGAATGTAGGTCTATTTTAAAATTACTAGTTGATTTTTCTTCCCTCACTGCAAAGAAAGGTAATAATGAAAGAGCTGATTATCTCGCCAAGAAAAGTACTATTGTTTTGCTGAGCCCTTATCATCATTTCGATTCTGATAAACTTCTCACCAAAATGGAATTTGAGAAAAATAATTAATTTAGAGTTAAGCGTATTAACAAAAGAGTCTAGGAACATCTCTGTGCTTGAGGATCGTCTTTCCCTAACCCTTCACGAAATTCTACTGTTGCCACTTTCTCTCGTATGACAGGACAAATTCAAAAGCTTATTTGAAAATATTTATTAAAGATATAAATCCAGCTTATACTTTTATTCTAAGAGACAGCGGCTTTAATAAGTAAAGGAGACATTCACTTATTTAAGCAAAATCTTTTTTAAATATTACTTGTCAAATTAAAATTATTTTACCAAAGTTACTTTAATGTTGCTTAGGGCAAACTCTACTATTTAATAAGTGCTCACAACATATGCAAATATAAATTAAATCAAGATTGCTAATATGCAATGGTTTAAGAAAAAACTTAAATATATATTTTTATATGAAGAAGAGTGTTTTTTAAATTTATAAGTAATTACTTTTTTTTCAAATCATTTGCTTTTATTTTTAATGTTCACAAAACGTAATACGTGTTCACAATGTATAATTAGTAAATAATACCCTTAGTAATTAATTCCTTTTATTTTACAGGTCGATGGCGTAAGTATTATTTAGACATTTAATATATTTATTATATTTGACTGATTTTTTCTACCTTAATAATATCTAAGAACTAACACGGGATTGTTAAGAGAATTCAAAATTTTGTTTTGTTAACTTATGTTTTATTCAGAATTTTATTGAATAAATTTCACTATTAATTTACTGAAAGTGCTATTATCAATAAAATAAATAATTGAATGATTTTTTATTGCAGCATTCTTTGGTAAGATTCAAAAGTTTGATTAATAAAATATCATTTTTAACTGACTACATTAATTAAAGAAAAGTAATATTTGATTAATAATTATTAATTAATTAATCTACAATTAATTAATCAATCGATTAATTAATAACTGAACGATTAATTAATATTTAATTAATTAATTAATTAAAGTAAATTTTTCCTAAAAATATAATGCTACTAAGGCAATAATAATTTATGTATGGTCTAAAGCAGTGTTCCCAACCTTTTTATCACCGCGGACCTGTCAACGTTTGATAATTTTCCCGCGGCCTGCTGGGGAGGGGGGGGGCGTTGATTGTTCAGATTTTAGATAATTTTGATTTATTAATTTTAATTGAATTTTATTTAAACATGACTTAAAAATAAAATACAGTTACCCCAAAAAATAAATATAAAGTGATTTAAGATTTTAACTTACTAGAATGTTAAATCAATGAGAACCCCGAGATTGTTTCTTTGCAATGAGACGATTCCATCTGGGGGTAATCATTTTAAAACATTAAAAAAATTATGTCACTACCTTCAGGACCCCTTTCTTTTAAACAAATAAAATCTTAATGGAACACAGATATTTTTAATTTGGGGTATAAACCTAGGAATTTAAATTCAGTTTCAATGAAGTGGGCGATCCGGTACCACTTGATCCACGGACCGGTACCGGTCCGTGGACCGGGGGTTGGGGAACACTGGTCTAAAGGACTATAATACCACGCATTTGTTTATATAATCATAGGTTCATGAGATAAAAAGAGATTATATACTTTCCGAAATAAAAATTGAAAAATTTGCTTTAAAAATAAGCGTGATACAAGCAATGATAATTTCTTCTTATTTCACAGTATAAGTCAAATAAAGTTCAACATGTTTTGAGCGACCAAAACAGAACGCTCTTCGTCAAGAAGACAATGATTGATGAAGAAAACGACGTCAGGAAGTCTGCTCCGCTACCGTGGTTTCTCTTATTTTTTCGCCTTAATTTTTTCACTTGCATTTTCTTTTCGTTGGCAACTATTACAGAAATTTTTTAAGGATCGGTTGGCAACGGTGACAAGAACGATACAGTTTTAAGAGAGAATCAAATTTTACAGTTTTAACGATCCGGACACCATTAATACAAATCCAAGTAAATTGCGGATTCTGCACTTTATCGGATTACCCTAGTCGGTCTGCAGATCAGCAAGAAAATGTACATATTAACATCGCTTGAGCTTTAGTGGTAACATATAATGACACCAGACATTTTACAGATGTTTCTCGAATATTATCTAAACAGTCTTGCAAAAATTTAGAACATATTCCGTTTGTAAATGAGAAGCGTGTGTGTAAAGTCAGTTAAATAAAATCAAGACAGATGATTTCTACTTGTTGTCTAGTACGTATAATATTTGCATCACAGTATAGCGGCACCTAATAACATTTGCGACTCCATTTTTCCATGTCCTTTTGTAAATGTTCAGCAGAAGCAGAAATACAGAATAAGTAAAATTATTTTTAATAATTTTAATGTAATTATTGGTATATTTGGAATAATTTTTCTAAAAATCATCTACTGTCATTTTTTAAAATCACGTTATCAAGGAGACCTATTAAATATTTACCGACAATACATGAAACGCCTGTGTTCTATAGAATACCTACTTCTACTTTGCTACAATATAAATGCCATAATTTAAACCTTTCATATCTAAGAGATATTTCGAACTATTACATTCTTGTTATTTCAAACTATTCTATTTTTTCTAATATTTTAGTTAAAGGACTTTCTAATATCTCACCGTTTCCCAAGATTTGGAAGCCTATTTAATTTAATCTGTTGGACACGTCAAATCCTCTTACACTTGTTTCTCATCTCTCTCTTTGTTTTGTTGTTCAAACTTGTTCCTCTGTCCCTATTGGTTAAACTAGATTGCACGTGTTAATCTCTTTACTCTCTCTACCGTCATTTGGTGCTTAGATACTGAGAATTTTAGAACTGAAACTTTAGAATGCCATTAATGTACTTTCATTTGTGCTTGTTTTTTGCTTATGGCTTATTATAATCTTATTATTTTAAACTATTCTATTCTTACTATTATAAACTTTGTCGGTTATATTTGTACGATATTCGAATTATTTTTTCTTCTTTACCATTTAGTTTCTTACTTAATTATTTCTCTATAGGAGGAGGTAATGGCGGAGGAGGAGGTGGAGCGTCTGCGGTTTCTTCTGCTGTAGGTGAGTAGCATACAGTTTTCAAAATCACATTTTAAAAATAACAGACATTGCTAATGAATACATTGCAATTATAGTTGAATTTTAAACATAATGCTGTTTACAGACATTATTTTAGTTTCTTCATTAATGGAAAATTTTATTAGTTGCAACAGTGAATAAAAGTTCAATAGCTCCTGATTTTATATACAAAATTACATGTCAAAAAGCTGGGTAGGTATAATAAGAATTTTGTTAAATAATATTAGAAACTAATTTGTAACGTTTTTTATCTAACGTTTTTTATTTTTACCTTTTTTAGCTATATGCATACTGTCAAAAATAATTGTAAATTCCACACAAATACACATTTGTTTATAGAAAAAAACTATTTAAAAATAAATACAGATCTTTGCTTGTTTTTTTATCGTTATCGACGCTCTGCAAGAAATTGCAGTTTATCTTTACATACTTTCACCGTATGTTTGACGGCTTAAAACTGTTTTTTTTTTTCACGTTGTTCACGTTGCAATTTGCAACGTTTTTATCTTAGCTTGTATATGCATACTGTAAAATATAATTGTAAATTCTTCAAAAATACATATTTGTTTACAGAAAGAACTATTTAAAAATAAATAAAAAAATTTTTTTTTATTGTTATCCACGCTCTGCAAGATATTGCAGTTTATCTTTACATACTTTTACCGTATGTTTGACGGTTTAAAACGGTATTTTTTTCACGTTGCTCACGTTTCAATTTGTAACGTTTTTATCTTAGCTAGTATATACATACTGTAAAAAAAAATTGTAAATTCTACAAAAATACATATTTTTTTTTTAATAGAAAAAACTATTTAAAANTCTGCAAGATATTGCAGTTTAACTTTACATACTCAAAAATACATATTTGTTTACAGAAAGAACTTTTTAAAAATAAATAAATAAATATTTTTTTATTGTTATCCACGCTCTGCAAGATATTGCAGTTTAACTTTACATACTTTTACCGTATGTTTGACGGTTTAAAACTGTATTTTTTTTCACGTTGCTCACGTTTCAATTTGTAACGTTTTTATCTTAGCTGGTATATACATACTGTAAAAATAATTGTAAATTCTACAAAAATACATATTTTTTTTCAATGGAGAAAACTATTTAAAAATAAATACAGAATTTTGCCTATTTTTAATCGCGATATCACGCGCTGCAAGATATTGCCGTTTATCTTTACATATTTTTACCGTATGTTTGACGGTTTAAAACTGCTTTTTTTTTCTTCACAAAACAACTTTATTCTTATCATAAACGGATTAAAGCTGTCAAATTAAATTCTAGTTTTTGCCATATTTTGTATACCGTTAGGTAACTTCAACCTTTTTCAAATAATTTTAAGATTACTTTCTATACTTGCTCTTACTTTTCAGTAACTTTTTTATGGTTTTAAACATCGTATAAGTAAAATTATGACTCGACTTCATTGTCGAACTGATAATCTCTCTGATTATTATTTGTTTTGAGATATAATTTTTCGGTAAGTTAAATTGCCGGACATTTTCATAAGGACTGGCCAATATATTTTTAAACATTTTTACATTTACATATAATTTTAATAAGTAAGACTTTTAAGATATAGATAGTTTAATATTTTTTTTCATGACTCAGAGATGAATTTTATTCATGACTTTTTTTTGAGATTTAAGATTTTTTTTCATGACTCGTGGCTCAGAAAACAGTGCGTTCGTCCCACAGCGAAGTGAACCGCGTTCCAATACCGTCGATGGCTGGTCGATACGAATCTGCATCTGGTTTGCACCCTGACCACAGTGTTGACGGGAAATATCCTCAGTGGTAGACGGATCAAAGGTTATAGTCCCTTTGCCGTCAGGTTAACCGTGGCAGGTTCTCGTGGTCTACCTCTCCATGCAACGAAAATGTGAGTTAGTTCCAGGAAAAATTCCTCCACGAAGGCAAATATCTCCTAATACTTGGTCCAAAAGTTCCCTTGTCTTCTGGATTGGGTTCCAAAATTACAAGGCTACGGAGTTGAACATTAGAAGTCATAAACCCAAAAATAGATTCGGCTGTTCAATGACGGTTATAAGAATGTAGTCATATCTGTTTTATAAAGTTTGGTTTCATAAAGTTTGGTTTTGTTAAAGTATCAGATTTCGTTGCAAAAATGACAAAGTGTTTTTGTTAAAATAACAGAATTTATTTGCTAAAATAGCAGAGTTTGTTAAAATAACAGTACTTACCTGCTTTAAAAACAGGCGTCTGTTTTTAAATATCAGTAATTTTTGGTGTAATAAACGGTTCGATAATGGCACATCAGCTAACAGTTTTTTACTGTTAATTTAACATATTTTTTTTGCAATGTAAGAATTTAGTTTATTATTTTGTCACATAAGTTTTAACACAAAAGTGTTTTAAAAGAAATTTATATTAAAGCATTCTTACGAAAACTTAATACTTTTGCAGCTCGAGGCGGTGGAAATAACTATAACAATGGTCCAGCTTATGGTGAGTGAACTAATTTATGACATTTCCAAATATTTTTTCTTCAGAAAAAACAGAAATCAATTGTTTCGGACAAAAAAATTAACTCAAGTTAGAACTATTTAATAGAAAGATATTACCTAGCTAAATGTTTGAAATATATGATGGCAAGTCTCATTTTAAGGCTTATTTCACAGATTTAAAGCAGTATGCAGTCCAAATTATTAGACGCACTATAAGATATTATGTAAAATTTTAACTATCAGGTGATACCCTGCAGCTTTATTGTTTTTACTTGGCGGAAACCGGTTTGCACCTATTTATTGTCGAATATCAATTGGTTAACATTGTAATGCAATACGTTAAAAAAATACAAATAGGAAGTACATTAAAAAATCTCCTGAATATAAACCTATTACACTTATGTTTAAATATAAAAGTATTGCAAATAAACTCGTGTAAAACATATAATTATTGTAATCATGTATGTGTAAACATGTAATATATATTGAAGGATGTATCTCGAAGATGCATCTCGAATATTCGCAGGATGTTTCTCGAATATTATTTAAACCATCTTGCAAGAACTTAGATTATCTTCTGTTTGTAAATGTGAAGCGTGTGTGTAAATTCAGTTAAATAAAAACTTGAAAGGTGATTTACGCTTGCTGTCTAGTTCGTATGATTTGCAACACTGTGTTCTGGATAACATTTGCGTCTCCATTTTCCATGTCTTTTTGTAAATGTTCAGCAGAAGCAGAAATACAGAATCAGTAAAATTATTTAGAATAATTTTGGTATAATTGGAATAATATTTTTTAAAATGATGTACTGCTATCAAGGAGACCTATTAAATATTTACCGACAATGCATGAAACGCCTGTATTCTAAAGAATACTTACTTCTACTTTGCTACAGTATAAATGCCATAATTTAAACCTTTCATCTCTAAGAGATATTTCAAACTATTATATTCTTGTTATTTCAAACTATTCTATTTTTTCTAATAATTTAGTTAAAGGACTTTCTAATATCTCAACGTTTCCCAAGATTTGGAAGTCCATTTAATTTAATCACACGTCAAATCATTTCACCCTTGCTTCTCATATCTCTCTTTGTTTTGTTGTTCAAGCTTGTTCCTCTGTCCCTATTGGTTAAACTACTTTTCACATGTTAATCTATCTACTTTCTCTACCGTCATTTCGTATTTAGGCACTAAGGAAGGCTTTTAGAACTGAAACTACAGTATGCCATTTAAGTACTTTCATTTGTGCTTGTTTTTTGCTTATGGTTTTATTATAATCTTATTGTTTTAAACTATTCTATTCTTACTATTATAAGCTTTACTTTTAGTTTCTTACTTAATTATTTCTCTATAGGAGGAAGAAATGGCGGAGGTGGAGGTGGAAGGTCGGCGGCAGTTGCTTCTGCTGTAGGTGAGTAGTATACAGTTTTCAAAATCGCATTTTAAAAATAATAGACATTGCCAATAAATACTTTGCAATTATGGTTACATTTTAAACATAATGCTGTTTACAAACATTATTTTAGTTTCTTCATTAATGGAAAATTTTGTTAGTTGCAACAGTGAATAAAAGTTCAATAGCTCCTGATTTTATATACATAAAAATATGTCAAAAAGCTGGATATAATAAGAATTTTGTTAAATAATATTAGAAACCAATTTGTAACGTTTTTTTTATCTTATCCAGTATATGCATACTGTAAAAATAATTGCAAATTCCACACAAATATATATTTGTTTACAGAAAAAAACTATTTAAAAATAAATGCAGATTCTGTCTGTTTTTTTTTATCGTTATCGACGCGCTGCAAGATATTACAGATTATCTTTACCTTCACTGTATGTTTGACAATTCAAAACTGTATTTTTTTCACGCTGTTCATTTTCAATTTGTTACGTTTTTATTCTAGCTAGTATATGCATGCAGTAAAAAATAATCGTAAATTCTACAAAAATATATATATTTTTTTAATAGAAAAAGCAATTAAAAAATAAATACAGATTTTTGTCTGTTTTTTTTTATCGTTTTCCACGCTCTGCAAGATATTGCTGTTTATCTTTACATACTTTTATTGTATGTTTAACGGTTTAAAACTGTATTTTTTTTTCACGTTGTTCACTTTTCAATTTGTAACGTTCTTATCTTAGCTATTATATGCATACTGTAAAAAATAATCGTAAATTTTTCAAAAATATATATATTTTTTTAACAGAAAAAACTATTTAAAAATAAACACAGAATTTTGTCAATTTCTAATCGTTATCCACGTTCTGCAAGATATTGCCGTTTATCTTTACATATTTTTATTGTATGTTTGACGGTTTAAAACAGTTTTTTTTTCACAAAACAATTTTTCTCTAATCATAAACGTATTAAAGCTGTCAAATCAAATTCTAGTTTTTGCCATATTTTGTATACCGTTAGGTAACTTCATCCTTTTTCGAATAATTTTAAGATTACTTTCTATACTTGCTCTTACTTTTCAGAATATTTGTTTTAAGGTTTTAAACATCGTATAAGTAAAATTACGACTCGACTTCATTGTCGAACTGATAATCTCTCTGATTATTATCTGTTTTGAGGTATAATTTTTCGGTAAGTTAAATTGCCGGACATTTTCATAAGGACTGGCCAATATATTTTTAAACATTTTTACATTTAAATATAATTTCAATAAGTAAGACTTTTAAGATATAGATAGTTTCTGATTTTCCTTCATGACCAGCCCTGTGAGTTGTCGTGGCTCAGAGAACAGAGTTCACAACGAGGTAAACCGGGTTCGAATACCGTCGATGGCTGGTCGATACGACTCCGTATCCGGTTCGCGCACTGACCACAGTGATGACGTGAAATATCCTCAGTGGTAGACGGATCAAGAGTTAGAGTCCCTTTGCCATCAGGCTAACCGTGGCAGGTTATCGTGGTCTACCTTTCCATGTAACGAAAATGCGGGTTAGCTCCATGAAAAAGTCCTCCACGAAGACAATGCTTCCAATACTTGATCCAAAAGTTCCCTTTTCTTCTGGATTGGGTTCTAAAATTATAAGGCTACGGAGTTGAGCATTAGAAATCGTGAACCCAAAGATAGGGTCGGCTGTTCAACGACGGTTATGAAAATGTAGTCATATATGTTTTATAAAGTTTTGTTTTGTTAAAGTATCAGATTTCCTTGTAAAAATGACAGAGTGTTTTTGTTAAAATAACAGAATTTATTTGCTAAAATAACAGAGTTTGTTTGTTAAAATAACAGTACTTACCTGCTTTAAAAACAAGCGTTTGTTATTAAATAACAGTAATTTTTGGTGTGATAAAAGGTTCTATAATGGCGCATCAGCTTACAGCTTTTTACTGTTAATTTAACATATTTTTTTGCAATGCAAGAATTTAGTTCATAATTTTGTTATATAAGTTTTATTACAAAAGTGCTTTAAAAGAAATTTATATTAAAGCATTCTTACGAAAACTTAATACTTTTGCAGCTCAAGGCGGTGGAAATAACTATAACAATGGTCCAGCTTATGGTGAGTGAACTAATTTATGACATTTCCAAATATTTTTTCTTCAGAGAAACAGAAATCAATTGTTTCGGACAGAAAAATTAACTCAAGTTAGAACTATTTAATAGAAAGATATTACCTAGCTAAATGTTTGAAATATATGATAGCAAGTCTCATTTCATGGCTTATTTTACAGATTTAAAGCAATATACAGTCCAAATTATTAGACGTACTATAAGATTTTATGTAAAATTTTAATTATCAGGTGATAGTATACAGCTTTATTGCTTTTACTCAGCTGAGACTGGCTTGCACCTATTTATTTTTGTGTATCAATTAGTTAACATTGTAATGCAATACTTTAAAAAAATACAAATAGGAAGTACAAAAAAAATCTCCTGAATATAAACCCATTACATGTACGTTTAAATATAAAAGTATAGCAAATAAACTCGTGTAAAACATGTAATTATTAAAAAACTACAGCGCGTCTAATAATTTGGTCTAATTTTTATAATATACTAACATAATAAGTGATGTAATAAATATTCTATATTTATATAATATATCGTAAAATTTATCCAATCTTCGAATTTGTATTATATATCGTCTATTTTAACCAATTGATACACGAACATAAACTACTGCAAACCGGTATCAGTCGCGTAAAATGTTGAAAATCGACATGCCACGTCTTTCGGTCTGATAGGCTGATTTGATTTTCTTTAAAAGTTCACAATAATAATCAATCCTAAAAGAAACGTGAGTTCTAGAACGCGCTCGTGAATACCTCATCCGCAAATAACCGAGATTTTGCCTTGAATAGAGCAAATTCAGTTGCACATTGGAAGGCTTTGTTTCAGAGGTGTAGTGATGCACACNATGGTCCAGCTTATGGTGAGTGAACTAATTTATGACATTTCCAAATATTTTTTCTTCAGAGAAACAGAAATCAATTGTTTCGGACAGAAAAATTAACTCAAGTTAGAACTATTTAATAGAGAGATATTACCTAGCTAAATGTTTGAAATATATGATGGCAAGTCTCATTTTAAGGCTTATTTCACAGATTTAAAGCAATATGCAGTCCAAATTATTAGACGCACTATAAGATTCTATGTAAAATTTTAATTATCAGGTGATAGTATACAGCTTTATTGCTTTTACTCAGCTGAGACTGGATTGCACCTATTTATTTTCGTGTATCAATTAGTTAACATTGTAATGCAATACGCTAAAAAAATACAATTAGGAAGTACAAAAAGAATCTCCTGAATATAAACCCATTACATGTATGTTTAAATATAAAAGTATAGCAAACAAACTCGTGTAAAACATGTAATTATTAAAAAACTACAGCGCGTCTAATAATTTGGTCTAATTATGATAATATACTAACATACTAAGTGATATGATAAATATTCTATATTTATATAATATATCGTAAAATTTATCCAATCTTCGAATTTGTATTATATATCGTCTAATTTCACCAATTGATACACGAACGTAAACAAGTACAAACCGGTATCAGTCGCGTAAAATGTTGAAAATCGACAAAATGTATCAGTTGAAAATCGACATGCCACGTCTTTCGGTCTGATGGGCTGATTTGATTTTCTTTTAAAGTTCACAATAATAATTTGTATTTATTGTTCATCAATCCTAAAAGAAACGTGAGTTCCAGAAAGCGCTCGTGAGTACCTCATCCGCAAATAACCGAGATTTTGCCTTGAATAGAGCAAATTCAGTTGCACATTGGAAGGCTTTGTTTCAGAGGTGTAGTGATGCACACTAGATTCATTACAAAGTTATGGTTCGAGTCAAAAATGAATATTCTTTAAATAAATCTAATGAATGTAGGAGAAAACTTCAAAATTTATCTATTTCTGCTTCATAGCAACTAAATAATCTTTGACAAATGTCTTTTATCGCGTCATTTTGATTTGTGATCAAAATTTTAGAAACTCACCTCTCTGAGATTTTTCGATACTTCAAATCAACATGAATTATAATTTGCCATCTTCTATAACTCATTTCTGTTATAGCACTATTTTTTCAAACTTTACTTTGTTAGTCATTATGAATAAGGTCACGATTTTGGTCAATTTTCACTGTCATAAGACTCATTCTTGATTGAAGAGCGCGGTTGCAATTTTCAATTTCTTCGCAGACCTATTTAGACCTACTTGTGCCATTTTCATACTTGAGCCCACGACAGGGTATCATTGCAGAACTGTGTTTGTAATCTGAGCAAAATTTCAGTAAGTTCGACATTTTCTCTCTTTAAAACTTTAATGGGATACCTGCAAGTGACGTAGTGTGGGTATCTCGATCCTGATTGGTTGTTGAAGCGTGGCATGTGTTTACGTTAGCAACTGCTCTTTCCATTCAATTTCGAGTAAGCCAAGCCTCTCAAGTATCAACTCTCTTAAGTGGCACATTCTAAATTCCTTCACAAAGAATTTATCTCAAAGATTTCAATTATTTCACTATATATTTACACAGTGACTTAACTCAAAGACAGGCATGAAGCTAAGTGGAATATAAACAAACTAATTATGCATCGAAGTTGTCAGATACCCAAGACAAAAATATAACCCGGTTACAATAAAATACATACACAAATAATAAATCTAAGTCAAGTAAAAGAATGAATTTTAATACGCCATTTTCCTGATAAAGATCAGCTGGAGCTGACGTCATAGGTCACGTGTGTGAGTATGGAACATTACTCTCACTCATGATTCAAGTTAATAAAAAAAAAGAAATTAGAAGGAACTGAACTCTGTTCGACAATTTATTTCGAATCTTCAGATAAAGTTTTATTATTGTCACAACAATGATATTAAAAATGGTCTGCTGCTATTGAAAAGTCTCATCTATATTTGATACAACTACGTAATAAACAGAATTTATAATTTTGTTGTACGAGTATTAACCTAAAAATATTTTGAAAGAAAGTTAAATTAAAGCATTCTTGCGAAATCTTCTAATTAAATGCTTTTTCAGAAAATAGAGGTCCTCCGCCGCAACAATGGTCCAACAATGGTAAGTTAAATAATATATGTTAAATAATACAGTTAATAAGCTTATGGTAAGTTAACTTATTTATTGCATTTACAGTTTTTTCCAGAAAGATTGATACCGACTTTTTGGAGCAAAAAATTGAAGCATATTGAAATGCATTTATAGAATGATATTTTTTTAGTTAAATGTCTTAAGTATATGACATCAAGCTTCATTTTATGGTTTAATTCCCATATTTAAATTTATTTAAAATTTATGCTTCATCTTAAATGTTGAAATGATTGCAATATTTAAAATTCTAAAAAAGCAACCACGACTTCTTCTTAAATATTTTATTTTAATATGGTTTTATTTCATAGATTGGTTATATAAATGTCATGAGGAATATTGATCCTTGTATATTTAACAAAATCGTATTTTTCAGTTGAGCAATATATGAACTCCATTAAGTGACACATTCCAAATTCTTCCACAAAGAATCTTTCTCAAATATTTCAATTATTTCACTATATATTTATACAGAGACTTAACATAAGGACAGTCACGAAGTCACGTGGAACGTAAACAAACTAAGTATGCATCGAAGTTGCTAGATACACAAAACAAAAATATATCACGGTTACTATAAAATACATAATCAAATAATAAATCTAAGTTAAGTAAAAGAGGTACTTGAGAAAAAATTATATTTTAATTAATTCCATGCGCAATACGCAATGTATTTATCTTTAATTAACTTTCTAACTTATGTAGAGAAACTTTGCTCAATTCTAATGCGCCATTTTGCTGATAAAGATCAGTTGGCGTTGACGTCATAGACCACAAGTGTGAGTATATATAGACCGAAGAGCCATTACATTATGACCACCCTCCATCTATAACAATGGACTCGCCCAGGTTTTCATGGTTTCTCGCCCAGGAACAATGTTTTCATGTGGCACATTAGGACCCATAATCCTCATAGAACAATACCTGACGTCTGTAAGCTTCTTGAACATAGTTGCAGACCAGGTTCACCCATTCATGGCAACAGTTTCTCCTGCGGGGGATGGTGTTTACCAACAGGATAGTGCACCATGTCATAAGGGTCGAATATGGATTGGTTCGAGGAACATTCCAGTGACTATCAAGTCATGTCTTGGCTCCCAAATTCATCTGACCTTAATCCAATAGAGCATTTGTGGTCCTACTTGGAAAACCAAATTTGTGCTGCCACGCTACCCCCTCACAATGTGAGGGAATTGCAGGACCAGTTGGTGAGCGCTTGGTACCAGATACCTCAGACTGTCTATCAGCACCTTGCGGAATCAATGCCACGGCGGGTGCTAGCAGTTTTGAGGGGTAAAGGTGATCCTACATGTTATTAGCAGGGTGGTCATCATGTAATGGCTCTTCGGTGTAGTTTATAATTTTATCGCATGGGTATTTGCACAAAAATATTTTAAAAGAAATTTAAATTAAAGCATTCTTACGAAATCTTTTAATTAAATGCTTTTTCAGGAAACAGAGGTCCGCCGCAGCAATGGTCCAACAATGGTGGTAAGTTATGTAATTTATTACATTTACAGTTTTTTTTTCTAGAAAGACTGATATCGACTTTTTGGAACAAAAAATTAAAGAATATTGAAATGTATTTATGGAAAGATATTTTCTAGTAAAATGTCTTAAATATATGACATCAAACTTCATTTTATGGTTTATTTCCTATATTTGAATAGATTTAAAATTCAAAGCAATCTGTTTAAAACCTATGTTTCATCTTGAGTCTTAAATGGATTGCAATATTTAAGATTCTAAAAAAGTAACCTCGAATTCTTCTAAAATATTTTATTTTAACATAGTTTTATTTCATAGATTAGTTTATATGTCATGTCATGAAGAATGTCATGAAGAATATTCATCTTTGTATACTTCACAAAATCATATTTTTTAGTTGAGCAGTAAAAAAACACGCAACGCAAGATATAAGATACAGTTTTTTTAATATAGGTGTTTTAATTAGCAAAAATAAGCGAATTTTTAAACATATAGCTGTTTTTAGAATATTTAACAAATCATGAAGTGGAAAATTTACCATATTTTCTTTCACCATATTTTATGAAAACTGAAAAAAAATTAACTGAAGAAAAATTAAACTCAAGTTACACGAATGAATATTAACATCAACATTTTCAATAATTTCAAAATTACAGATATGAAAGATGCTATATTTATGTTTTGAGTTTCCAAAGATATCGGTTTTCTACGATGTATTTTATTTTTCACGAGTAAAAATATACATGCCATAAACTTTTAATTTTTTTTTCTTTCAGGGCGTAAAATGACAATCATAAGGAAGTGGGGTAAGTACATGTATTTTAAAATTATTTTAACTTTGCAGAATGTCCCTTGCAATGTGTCCTTAATATATCTTTCAATGCTGCATGTTCAGAACTGAAATAAATTTTTTTATAAATAAGTAATCTCGAGTTTCTCAAATTAACACGTAAATGAAGAAAGCGCTTTAGAAATTCAACGAATCACTAGTAATGAAGGCGAGGCTTAAAAGCTTTTATACCGCCTTTATTGCTAGCAAAACATCAGATTTAGATTCAGGAATGAGGTTGTAGAACATCTTTACTAATAATTCTAAATTTTTCTACATATATCGTTGTTAAGACATGGTTACTTACCTCTACACTGTAAAAATTTTTTAACGTATCTTTACACGAAAAATGGTGCATAACATTTTTACACCAACGAGGTTTATTGATGTGCCACAGACATTTTGTACAACTCTGTGGAGTTAAAAGTATTAAAATATTAGAAATGTGTCTTTTCATAGCTTTTAATGTAAAGTATTTGGTCCCACTTTTGGTATTTAGTAGTGCTAAAATTTATAATAACAAGAAGATATGATACACGTAAAAGTCTGCAATGCTATTAAGATGCAATTTAGAGTAAAGAGTAAAAACAATTAGTTTAGGTTGCATACCCACACTAATAATACTTAATACCACACTAATAACACCCACTTAAAATAAAATGAGTTCGTAAATCAAACATACTCATAACACAGAGAGAATAGACGAATTCGAATTCGGCTTAAAAAAACAGAAGCAGAATTTAAATTCGAAAATTTTATAAATTCAGACATGTAATAAACAAGTTTGTACCATATACCACCAAAAACTTTTTTTATGCGGTTGATAGGGACAGAATAAAAAAAGTCGGACTCAGAAAATACATCAATGATTTATGAAATAGATAAGAGAATGCTTTCAATAAAATTAAATAATTAAATTAGACCTAAAGAAATTTTAAAAATATTTAATTCTTCACTGTACATATACATGTAGAAGTTTTCAAATTATACATTAAATAGTTTGTTGCTACTCGTCGTAATCCAAAACGCGCATCTTCTTGGAATGAATTGGTTGAAAATCGCTTGAAGATAGGATTTCAATTGATTTATTTTTTGGTACCATAAAGTCAGCGATCAGATAAAATAAAATAAAAATCATAAAAACTACATATAAATAGAAACAAAAGTAATTATTTTTTTTACCTTTAATCTCACTATAAAATGAATCCTTAATCAAATGAATCGTGTATAAAACTCTGAATACGAAGCGTATAGTATTTGAGATACACGCAGACGAGAATTTAAACGGTTTAATTTTAAAATACTAAATATTTTAACACAGCAAACGATTTTTTACTGATTTACTTCAACTTGTTTAGCGCAGAATAAATTTTAAACAGAAGAGAAAATGGAGTTGACGATAATAAATGAACTAATGAAAGTAAATAAACAGAGCATCGCGAAGTTCAGATACATCGTTGTCAAGGAGACCACGTAATCAGAGTTCGTCCACAACATGCACACATTGATAGGAAACTTTAAACTGGTGCTAACACCGTTAAGATTCATATACCGCATAAAAATAATTCGCACAAAAAAAATCGCACAAAAATAAAATCGCATAAAACCAATCGCACAAAAACAGAATCGCATAAAAAAGGACCGCACAAAAACAGGTCTCACTGTATTATTAAAAACTAATGCAACAACTGACAGATGTTTAAGCATTAAAGCATAATTATCCATATTCATATTATAAAGCATATTTATAAATTTTTTATTGATTGAATTTATATAATTTATATTATGCATAGATTGTACTACATAAAAAAATATTTTTATGTATTTAAGTTTATATTTTTGATAAAAAAATATTATTAAAAACCATTATACTAATTATTTTTAGTGCCAGCAGGAGGTAAGTAGTTTCAATATTAAAATTTAAAAAATTAATTTTTGTAATCTTAGAATGTTTATAAACTAATATTTAGAGAAACTCTTTGAAGGTCGTAGTGACAAACAATGATAAAAAAATAAATAAAAAAAAGAAGTGGCAAATTTTTGTTTGGGTGCTAAGAATATTTCTTCTCTTAAATTTAGGTCACAAGTCGGAACTGTCCTAAAATTAGAACAAAGCTTTCTTTAAATTAAAAGTGGTGACAAAATTGCTTCATAATTTTTCAACGTTTCAGAGAATATATTGGCCCGTATTACCGTAAACTATAAAAATTTAACGGATAAATACTATAAAAATCCATTACAGCGATAATTCAGAATATCGAATGGAATTTTCGTTATAGCCAACTTGTTTTTATAAGCGAATCTGCATATTTAATATTAAAATAACAATGCGAGTGAATGGTGTCTTACATTTTACTTTCTTTAAATTAAAAGTGGTGACAAAATTGCTTCATAATTTTTCAACGTTTCAGAGAATATATAGGTCTGTATTACCGTAAACTATAAAAATTTAACGGATAAATACTTTAAAAATCCATTACAGCGATAATTCAGAATATCGAATGGAATTTTCGTTATAGTCAGCTTGTTTTTATAAGCAAATATACATATTTAATATTAAAATAGCAATGCGAGTGAACGGTGTTTCACATTTTTCAAATATTTTCAATTTTAATATATCGCAAACAAGGATGAAATATGGAAATTACTGCGTACTTAAAATGTTGCTATTCCCGCTTTGTAGGTCATCCCCGGCATGAGATCAATTCCTAGCTGTGGAATGTTTTCGTGGTTTTCGTCTCCATGCAACACAAATGAGGATTAGTTTTAGCAAAAAAATCTTCCACGAACGGGAAATTGTCCCTATGTTTGATCCAGGAGTTCTCTTGTCTTCCGGATGCGCTCAAAATTACAAGGCTACTGAGTTGCAGATTGGTAGCCGTAAAGTCAAATTTGGGTAAAATAAATAAAATGAGTAGAACCATGAATAGAGAATTGATCGATACTTTACTCTATCGATACTTTACTGTATCGATATTGATCGATATTTTATTCTATCCTGAAGGGGTTAAACTTGTCTTAGAAAATCAACACTACTTTAAAANAAAAAAAAAAAAAAAAAAAAAAAAAAAAAAAAAAAAAAAAAAAAAAAAAAAAAAAATACAAAATCAGGGACTAAGAGAATTTTTCGTATTGTCATTTCAGTAAAATTATTATACAAATTAAGTGTCTTCGGACACTAAAATAATTTTTCGGAGCTCAAAATTTTTAAAAATATCAACTTGTTTCAAGGGGACTAATTATTTATGTTGAAATAATGCTAATTATTCTTTAAGGTTCAGGTCCAGGTAGTGTGGATAGTGCAGCTGCTGCCTCAGCTGCTGCGGCAGGAGGTAATGACAACATACAATTATTATACCTAATATCATATAACTATTAATAAAAAGCAATTCAATTTTTTTTTTATCTTCATTACTCATTTCTACGCTTAAAATTGTTCAAAATCTTACACAATATTTTATTACTAAACCCTTTTTGCAACTATTACTAATTTATCTTTTATGGAAATTTTTGGTGACGGAGATTATCGAAGAAAATAATTGCGTTGGATTATTGGTTATTGGCTTGTGATAAATACCCAGTACACTGTTAGAAATCTCTCGGCAAAAATGGTTAAAAACAATTTATTGAATGGTTATTTTACCATCTTTAATCAACGCAGTCAAATAACCATAAATAAAATGGTAATCAAACTGTTAAGATTGATAAAAACTGTTTATTAACTGCTTTCACCGGATACTGTTAAACAATCGGAATTTTATCACACCCACTAGAACAACCTAATGAAGCTCAGCTCTTTGCAACTGCGTTCATATTATAGCCGAGCGGGCTTGTCTGCCAATCTCATGAACGGCAGAACTGGAGTTCGAGTCCTAGTGTGGACACCACACTATTTCATCCATTCTCTTCAACACATGAAGAATTTCAGTGTCCGGCATTCTCTAATGCCCTTTACCTTACGAAAAGCCGAGTTCCTATGTCCAGTTAAATATTTTTTTTCTTCACATTTTTGAAAAATGCTAGTTGGAAATGGTTAAAAAACCGTATAGTTTTATATTCATGGTCTTATAACCATACCTTTTGTAAATGGTTTTAAAACCATAAAGGAAAAAAAATGTTCTTTACCGTAAACTTTACGGTTAATCGGATGGACAGACAGCTGCCAGTTATTTTACCATAATTTTAGAATGAAAATTTTAGCAGTGTAGAGAAGTAGACACATTATTTACTCTTCAATTTTGCTTTTTAATAGATACCTCTTTTTCCTAGTTAAATTAGGACTTATTATTAAAATTAATTAAGAATAATTATTACTAATAATGGCTTGATGATTTTTTATGCTCCCCTTAAACAAGTCAGTATTATATCTCCATCAATTTTGCTTTTTTGTGCATACCCTATTTTTTCTATTTCAATTAGGAACTATTATTTAAATTAATTAAGAATCATTAGTGATAATAATAATTTTATGTTCCTCTTAAATGAATCAGTATTATTTCTTCCAAAATTTTGCTTTTTATTTGAAATTTACTTATTTTTTTTGTGTTATTTATCGTTGATGTTAAATTATTTAGTTTTACAGAAACACATTTTAAGCGCATAACTATAAACAAAATAAACATGTGGTTTCATGTAACTTAAAAAATACTAACTTGGATGCTTGGTCCACTTTAGTTTACCTAACGTAGAGAATAAAATGCAATTAAATATATGAAAACGCGCACGAAACTTCTTTTTCGATTAATCTGAAGTTATAAACTAGCAGGCAACTATGACGGTATCTTCAAAATTTCTGATAAAACAGAATATTTTGTAGTTTTATTCTTATCACTATTTGCATGGAAGTAATGACAACCAATAATAAAATTACATTTTTCAAACGTATCTTTTCATCCGGGGATAAAAGTGCCTACATTACCCTCAGACCAAATTTCAGAAATTTTATAAGATTTAAATTTTATACAGACACACAAATTTTCATTTTATTGTTACAAATTCGTCGTTTTTAGACACAAATTTGTAATTTTTTTTTTATAAATTTATATTTCGCAGTTTTAATTTTATTTATATTATTACAGGCGGAGGCGGAGGAGGAGGCGGAGGTGAAAGTTATGAACATTACGATGGTAAATATAGTTTTATAATTTCATAAACTTCGATCTTCAAAATTTATTTTAGTGAGACAGTGATATTAACTAATTTTGATTTATAAATAATATATAGTTTATCAGATGAGCGTTTCCTGTCTGATATATTTCAGATATATTAAACATAAAATTAAAAAGAAAACATTACATTAAATTGAAGCAAAATAAAATATTACATTTTATATTATAATTATATATAGATATTTTGCACTGAAAATAAATAATTTCTTTAAATACTAATTTTTTTACAGGGAGAGAAAAAGAAAAAAAATATTGTTTTGTTTTTGTCAGAATTAATATAAAAACGTAGATAGCATCACCTTTCGCATTACCATTGAAAATCGCTTCCTAATCTTTTGAAAGACATGCATTTTACGTTTTAGATTTCAGGCTAAACAAAATAAAATCATTTTCTATTTTTTAGACTTTTTAGACTTTAACCTTTTTTTTTATAACTTAATTAATTTCTTAGCATTGACGTATTAGCACACCACTTTCGTCTATACAACCGGAAATTCTCACCCCCTGAAGCGTCCTTTTTATTTTAGGTTTGACTAAAATATAATTATTTTCCCTTTTCTGGATTGCTAAAAAAATGCAGTACTTAATATTTTTATTTTATTTTATCATTTTCTTAATTTTAGTTTGGTTAGTTTTATTTTAATTATGTGAAATTGATGGAGAGTGCTTGCTCAGCAAGTAGAGTAACCACTTAATAGCAACGAACGCAGAGGCAAATAGCATCATTGGTATCTTAGAAATAATAAATTCAATTTGACGATAAAATGACAATAAATTTTACTAGTAAAAAGATGATTGATCTTCTTATTGTCCCCAAACATAGCCTTGCAGTTGAAATTTGAGCACTCTAGATTCTTGGCTGTTAAAAGTTATTAATTTACAGTAAGCATGAATAAAATATACAGGAATTAATGGTAGATTAAAAATATAACTTGTTTAAAGAAAAGGAATTTATATTGAGAAAAAATGTGTTGTCAAAACTACTAGAATGGGCTAAAATTTACAGCGTTTCTTGGGAATACCAGAAAAAAACCCAACACGTTTTGGAATGATTTTGGTAAAATTAACAATAAAAATATGGTTTTACAGTGTATAACAAATTTTGGCAAATGTGGTTAAATTTAGTAATTTCATCAGGATGCCTTAGAGTTTGGTATAAAAACCATTTATTTGGTTAAATTTTCTTTTCAGTGTTGTATTTTTTACTAAATATGTGGTAGTAAGAAATATAACTTTTAAAACCAGAATTTCCGGTAAGCCGTTAACATATGAATCGAAAAATTACTAAATGAATGATTTAAATACCGCATATTTTGAGTTAATAAGCCAAAATTGTTTTCTTTTTTTACCAGAAATGTCTTTACCGTATAGTACGGTAATTTTACTAGGATTTTTTTTTATCTGCACAGTGAAATTAAAAAGGAATCCACCACAAATTTTGTTGCAGAACAACATCCGGCAAATTTTCTGCAATCGTAACTAAAATGTTAACTCATTTTGAGTCATAGTATCATTAAATTTATTTATTGAAGGGTTAGTTTGCAGAGTAATATAATTCCAATCTATGTAAAAGTTGTAGCAAAAATATGCACTATAATTTGGTTCAAAGTACATCAATATTTTTACCAGTGTAGTGCTAACGATGCTTGTTAGGCTTTGATGCATTTCTTCACACGGGTCATAGATAGCAGTGCATGATTGATTTAAATGTCAGCAATAGCATCTATCATTAAATCCAACAAGGAGTATAAATGATTAGAAAAATAAACTACGCCAGCTTGAAAGAATGTTAAATTTAATTAATAGTTTACGCTCTACGAATTTCGCATTAAGCTTACATAAACAACCTTTTTATAACGATATTGAATCTGCCCATAACAACACAGGGTGCCAGTACTTTATAATGAAAAATCCATTTTCGCCGTAAAATTTTACGAAAAAAATAACAAAATCTGATACACAGTAATTTTTACAGTAATATTTACAGCAAAATTATTCAAGCTCTGCAATTAAATGAATATAACTGCAAAAATTGCGGCACTAAAATTTACGGATGCTTCACTTAGGGTGCCAGTAATTTTTACCGTACTTTGATCCAGATTTTTTTACAATATGCAATGTAAAAAATTTAAGACTGTATTGAACCATAATATTGTGACAATTTTCTACAACTATACTATGGAGTATCATTTCAATTCATTTCGTAGACTTGATTCTACGGCTCAGCTTGAACTGAAATATATAGTTCAATTTAATAATTTTTTACAACATGCACTGTTAAAGATTTAAGACCGTATTGAACCATAATATTGTTACCATTTTCTACAACTTTACTATGGGGTATCATTTTAATTCATTTCGTAAACTTGATTCTACGGCTCAGCTTGAACTGAAATTTTAATAATTAAGTAAATTTTTTTAGAGTTGAATCAAATTGGCATCATTTGATTGTACAAATATTAACATCATTTTTATTCAACTTGAATGAAAACATCTTTCAATTTAACAATTTATTAAAAATGCACCGTGTTATGATACAAATATAAACGACATTTTGATTCAACTTGAATGGAAACATCCTTCAATTTGACAATTTATTAAAAATACATCTACTTTGCATCGTGTTATGGTACAAATATTAAATATATAATTATTCATCTTGAACAAAAACAAGGTTCAATATAACACCTTGTTAACGCTTTATCAAATTTTAATCGCATTATGGTTCAGATTAGAGATATTATGATTCAACTTTGAACCAGTGTATAAAATTTTACGTTTAACTCATACTTTAGCTTTAAATGTATTCTGTAAGATTTCGGTTTTAGTTGTGTTGTCTTAAAATGGATCTTAAAATTGTCACATTATTACTTAGTTGTCACAAATTTCATTTTCAAAAATTCGAGAATAAATTACTGTAAAAAGTATCGGCACTCAGGGTACTTGTATATTTTTTTAACGGTAAAATCAATTTTTACAGGGACATATTACGGAACAAAAAATCTGATTTACTGTAACTTTTACAGGAATACTTAAAGTAAAATCACTGAATTATTCCAATTAAGTAAATATATAAAAATTATGGTATATTTTACGGTTAAAATGGATTTTTTAGATGATGTGTCATGAGTGCCAAAACTGTAATTTGATCCCGAATTTTTTACAGTGAACTTGAATATCCTTTTTTGAAGTCCTTGGTGTGGTGGAAAGTTAATAATTTATACAGGGAATTAAAACAATCTTTCAATTGGTTTTAAAATAGAATAATTTTGTATAACTCTGAAATGGTTTGTTAAAAAAATAATGATTCTTGTTGAAGTGTAAGATCATACAAATCTGCACCAACCTTACATGAAGTTAAATGTAGTTGGGAAATAAGGCAAGTTTAGATTTCTGTTCAATGGTTTATTTTAAATTAAAATCTATATTAACGACTCATAAAAGTTGGAGCAAACTTGAACGATATTATAGTTCAAAATGCCAAGGCAAAATTTTGAACTAAATTTTCTGTAACTACGCTCTATAACAAAAAAATCGACGCACCAAGAAGCAATTATCCGATTGCTTTGGAATTTCGTATGCATGAATGTTTTGAACAGATATGGCTGGAATGATGCCGACTGGGGACGCATAGTCTTTAGCGACGAATCCCGCTTCCAACTGTGTCCTGACGATCATCGAAGACGCGTTTGGTGACACACAGGGCAGAGGGGGGGGGATCCTGCCTTTACTATTGCACGCCACACCGGTCCTCAACAAGGCATTATGGTCTGGGGTGCCATTTCCTTTGACAGCCGGACCCCTTTGGTCGTCATTAGAGGTACACTTACTGTACAGCTGTACGTCGACGACATTCTAAGACCTGTTTTGCTACCGTTCCTTATGCAGCGTCCTAGTCTGGTTTTTCAGCAGGACAATGCCAGACCACATACGGCACGTGCTGCTATGAACTGTCTGCAAGCTTGTCAAACTCTTCCTTGGCCTGCCAGATCACCAGATTTCTCTCCCATCGTGCATGTCTGGGATATGATGGGAAGGCGATTGCATCTGGCACGGAATGTTGATGACCTCGTTCGACAATTGGATCGAATTTGGCAGGAAATACAGCAAGAGACCATCCGGGAGCCAGGCTAGAGCCAGGCTTGTATCCAGGCTAGAGGCGGGTCAACACCTTATTGAACTTGCTACTGTAACTCTGCAATAAATTATTCAATTGTTCTGAAATTTTAATCATTTTCGTTTCAATCAGACAACTTCTTCTTGGTGCGTCGATTTTTTTGTTATAAAGTGTATTATTTACAAATGTGACATTTTAAAAAAATTTTAAATTTCAGGACCTTACCAAGGCGGACCCGGACCAGGTATTATTGTCTTTAGTATCATAAATAAATCCTATAAATCGTCTGTATATTACCTCAAGTGACTCATTAAACTCATTATATGAAACTAGTTATATTAAACTCATTATATGAAACTCATTATATTAAACTCATTATATGAAACTAGTGACTCATTAAACTCATTATATGAAAAAAATCAAATTGCTATTAAAAAGTTTCTAAAAAATTATTTTATGGGATAAAGGCATTAATAAATAACTTAAATAACAAAACTAATTAATTAATCTTATTTTGTTTTCGTTAAATTTTTTTTCTACAAATAAAAATTACTTAACTTTGGCTTTTGGCGAATTGTTCACTTTAGGTTGTATACTAATGATATGTGGGTAGAAATGAATAAAAATACATAGATCAAATTTTATTTTTTCTTAAAAGAAAAGGGTTTTGGATTTTAATTTTAATGACAATATATTTTTCAATTGACATAAAACATTGATTTTAAATTTACCATGAACTGCTCGAAAAATTAGGAGAGCAAGCTGAAAAGTGTTAAAACTTTTGCGCGATAGCCATGCATGAGCATAAAATGGAGAACACAGGTGTAACAAAACGCAATACAGAAAAAAAACAATTGTATGAGAATTTTAATTATTCGGAATGGTATAAAGAGCATGACATGATGCTTCAATTCAACAATTTGTATGTAAACATGTGAATAACATGTAAATGACAAAAAAATTGATTGTATGGAAATGATACAGAATGTTTAATATGGTGTGTAGTCCTCACGAACTGCCAAGACTTCTGCATATCTATTTTGCAACCTATTTTGAGATTAAGTTATCGACGAGACTTTGGAGGAACATTGTTCCACTCTTGATAAGTTGCGATTTCCAAATCTTGGACAGAAACAGGAGGCCATGTCATTACCGCAACGCGTCGCGCATCCTAAGCATGCTTGATCGGATTAAGATCAGGAAAACATGCCATCTTCTCTGTACGCTGCATTGTTTTAGCTTCAAGAAAGTTCTCCCCTAGACGAGCTGTATGAGGTTCGGCTTTATCCTGTTTAAAAAAAGAGAATCACCGATAACTGCAGTGTGAGATACGACAGAGGGTCTCAGGATCTCTTCTGTATACCTGTTGAGTTGCCAAAGTCCACTTATGTAGATTCCAACTAGTACCATCAAACCTCCTCGTTTGTAATGTGTTCTTTCCTGAACGAATATAGAGTTTTTCCGAGTTCTCCTTTCTCGCCATATGAAAACATGTCTGTTGTCACACTCTAAACTGAAGCGGTTCCCGTTTATAGACAGCACTAGAAAGCAATAACTTTGCATTTAGTTTCGATATTCAGCAGGCGACTTTTCATTGGGCCTCATGGTGTCCGGCTGCTAATGGAATAGACAACATTGACCTACCAGTATACAGACCATCCTCTCGTAGTACCCGATTGTTTGGCTTGAAATCCTTCGTCTGATTGTTCAAAGAAACTGTTTTTGAATTAGTGTGACATTGGCTGTTCTGTCTCAACTATCTGTTAACTGGATATATTAGTCATTATTTGCTAAGGTAGCACGTGGACGACTTTGTCCTGGACTACGTCGATCATGTTTCTCGGAATCGATTTCACAGTCTTATAATGACCCCTCTCGTCACTCCAACAGCGTATTCCAGTCTCCTGATAACATGATAACATCTCCCGATAACATGATAACATCTCCCGATAACATTTTCAAATAACTTTTTCTCAAAATAAAAGCCGAAAGGTTGAATTTCCCCACTAAGAGAGCGAAATACAGCAGATTCTGCAAAATCAAGACTTTTGCACTCATATCCTGTTTCTGACTTTTGACGTCATGAAGGTTAATTTGCATGAGAAATTTTTCTTCTTCTGTTTTCTACTATACTTAAGACTATGTCTTGCCTTAGTTATCAAAAGAAACATTTGAGTCATTCATTTGAGTCATAGTTATCAAAAGAAACATTTCATTAAATCCACGTGCTCCGCTATTTTATTTTGGCAATGTATTTTAGGAACTTAGATAAGTTTAAAAAATTAGCCCCTTCTTTTATTTAGCCACTGGTTAGAGTTATCAAATATATTTCTCAGTATTTGTTGCTGTTTACTTTCATATATTTATTATATATACCATTGCTGTATATCCCATGTTGCTATATACCATTGTATCATATTTACCACTTTGATACAGCAACTGATTTCTCAAAATGGTACAAATACTAAAACAATTTTTTAAAATATTTGTTGTTTATATCGTGAAGATTTATATAATCATAAAGCAATATTGCAGCACTTTTTCACACATCTTTATGTTGCTGTGCTAAAGTTAGATTAAATACATACGTAACAGATATGAGCCAAAGAACTTTAGGAACGGCGTGACTTTAAGTTTAATATTAAAACGCATAAGCATGCTTCAATAGTAATTTTGCAAGTATGGGACAATGCACTAATAGAATAATGAAACAAACAAAGATTTGCAAAAATGGAACAATGCATTGAAAAATGAAACGAAATCTTTCGCAAAGAGTAAACATTTTCTTTCATCCTTTCAGTTTTACAAGGACCATCAGGACCCGCTGAAGGATCAAATGATTACGAACAGTGTAGGTGTTTTATAAATTCTTAATTTTATTTACCAACTTAATACGATGGGTGAATAAATTTTTAGAGACATTATTCGCCTTTTTGTTTTTTGCACTTTTTGTTTTATACTTTTCACACATGGCACCACTTACTGTGACAGTTTTAAGTCGATAGGAGGATTTTGGTTCGGGACGCCGCTGATTTTTCATTCATAAAAAACACACAATTAAGCTAGACCCTAATTGAAAATATATTCAAAAGAACATAAATGTGTTAAAAATTCTGACGGGCATATACTTGTTCAGCAGGTCCTGATTTCTTTCGGTTGTGAAACCATAAATGATCGATTTGCTTTTGGCGGAATCTCGACATGAGTTTTTAAAATATATTGGCCAAAAATCGCCAATTTCACAAGCCATCATTAACTACATCTACAGTTTTAACGCATCTACATCTACAGTTCAACATGATTAACGTATCTGTAAACTGGTTGTTTAATAATTTAGGAATAACTTTCTTCCCCATATCTTCTCCGGGTATACAACAAACTGTTTCCGTCATACATAGTTTTATTTAATTTTCTGTAATGGTGCGTGGATTTCCATTTCGACTAATACTGTAACTTAACAGGAAAGATGATCTTGTTGCGGTTTTATTATAGGCTTTTGTCTAATACAGCAAGTTCTGATTATTTGAAGCCTTATGCCTCTTTTGCAGAAACTTAGGTTTCTGTGGAACAAATTTTGGGAATGCTGCCATAGATATACATATTTACGCAACGATTAATAATTTTTTTCCCCACAGTATACATGACTTCACGGTTGTTTTTATTTCGATCAAAGCTCCAAGCACGTAATGTCGATTTACAATCTTTTCAAAGGGTCTTATCGATTGCTGACGATGCTTCGAATATATTTCAATAGAGGTTGAACTATAAATATTTAATTAAACAAGAAATTGCAAAAAACTGAGCATTATACCTAATATTTTCGTCACCTACTGTGTTTGATTACTTCAAAACTAAATGCTTAAAATTCATATTTATTGAAAAGAAAATGACAATTTGTTTGTCAAGAATTAAAGTTCCATTCAAGAATAGAATGATTTATTAACATTCTACTCGAATAGGTGGACAAATTTTCATAAATCCATTTTTTTCCTTTAAATACTCGCACACTTTCTTTTCTTAGTAGAGTTCATTATAATAATCTAATAATATTTTATAATATTTTATAGTGTTATCTTATAATATTTTAAAAAGCAAATAAGTTAATTAACATTTACTTAAAAATTATTGTTTTTTGAATTAAAATAAATTACAATATTCAATTACATATCATGATAAAGTTATGTTTGAAGTGATATTTATAATGCGAGTATTTAGAGGTGATTCTAAAAACCCTATTCTTAGAGAAACTTAAAGCAAAATAAAAAGATAAAGTTTGGTGAATTATGTTTCGTGTTTTATGAATTATTATGATCCTTTGTAATTATTTTTTTAATTTTTAGTTTACCATGATGTATTTGGACCTCCTCGTAAGTAGTATTTTTACGTATAAGTCATATAGTAGGAATATATGAATGAAATCTTAGCACAAAATTATTAAAAAAAACTTAATAAATAGTAGCATTTAAAGCATTTAGAATTTAAGCATACACATTTTTCTAAAAATGAGAAGCATATAAATCATAAGTAATTGATTCGGAATGATTGTTAATTTTTCGTTGCAAATATACTTGATTGTATACATTTTAAAAATTAAAAAAGAATTATTTTAAGTTTCTTTTTCTAGACCAATTTCAGAAAGTAATAATTCAGAGAAAAACAGAAGAACTCAGAAAATAATAATTTTTTTATTATTTGAACAGAATAATGAAAAGAGCATTTATTTATTTTACATAAAAAATTCTGTTTGCTTTATAAAATTGGTAAAATCTAAACAGAGAATGTAAAAATCTGTATCCAAGGCGTTTTGAAAAATAATGAAGTATGTAAAATTTTCAAGTTTTTATGAAAATTAAGTTGAAAATTTAAAATCCCATTCTTTTGCTTGTGTTGCTAATTGCTTCATATTCCGTAGGTTCCACACTATTTGTTATCAACGATTGTTAGTCCACAAACTTCTACATCGCTTTTGTAAAAACAAGGATCTATAGACTAAATTCTTTCTAATAAGATTGTAAAGTAGCTTTTAGCTTCTAAATTAACCAATATAAATGACTGTCAGTTTGTAGATTTCTTAAAAGAAAATGTTCATTTTGTGTTTATAAAAATCACAGATTTATGAATTAATTTTTTTCTAAATAAGTTCATAAAGTATGCTGCAACTTCTAAACTAATCGATAAGAAAAACTGTCTCAGTTTGTCAAGCTTAAAAAAAAGAAAAGAAAAAAATGTCATTTATTGTATTTTTTTTTATAGGAACCACAGATTTATAGATTAAATTCTTTCTTATGGGATTCAAAAGCAGCTTTTATCTTCTAAGCAAATCGATGCAAATGAATGTTAATTTGTCATTTTCTAGAAAAAGGTTCTTTGTCCTATTTTGCAAACGTATCATATTAAAAGTCAAACTGGTTCTTACTAAACTTTAAGTTTTTTTATTCTTGTTTTCAAAAACAAAAAGCTCATATAGATAAGGTCAAAACTTCAAAACAATTACTCTAATTACATATTTTTTCTTATCTTAAAATAATGGAGGCCTGGATAGCCTGGTTGGTAGGGCGTTGGACCCAAGCCCAATTAGGTCGTGGGTTCGATCCCCTCCGGCTGAAAACTCCCCGTGTAGTAAATGGTGACTGGTTCATGTTAAATCTGTCAGGTTACAAAGTCCTTCATGTTTCCATAACAAATTATGTCTCTAGGGTTACTGAATTGGAAATGATCGTTTTTCGGTTCAGGTTAAAATTACGATCTGCGGTTGGATGGCGTATGAATGTGTCCTCCCTGTGAAACGGGATTGACGTATGTATGTTACCTCCGGATCATCCTCAAGGATGCTTCCCAGACTGTCACCAATAGCCCATTGGGCTGCTTTGGTGCTATGTAAATGAAAGTATAAACCAACCCTTAAATAATGGTGTTATTTTTTTTAACATCCAAAATAAGGACCATTACCAAGAGTTATATTTTTGTTGTTGAAATATACTTTTCTTTTGAAGTATACAAAAGTAAACAAATACTTTACTTTATATTTTGATAAATTATCTTTATTGCAGAAGGTTGGAATGAAGGTGGAGGTGGAGGTAACGGAGGTGGAGGTAATGGAGGTGGAGGTAATGGAGGTGGAGGTAATGGAGGTCGAGGCAATGGAGGTGGAGGCAATGGAGGTGGAGGCAATGGAGGTGGAGGTTCAAGTAAGTTATTTCAAAGATAAAATTTAAAAAAAAAATCTATGAATTTAGATGACATTTAAAAATTGAGTCAGGAAGAAATTTGGAAAGTCTTATTTTAAAACAATGACGAGCCTCATGAAAATTAAAACACAAAACTCAGAAAACTGATAAATTAGTGTAGCAGATAGCTTAATGTATTAGCCAGCAATTTAGTTTTACGTAAAGAAAGTTTCAAAAATGAATTCCACATACGAAGAACGTTAGAGTAAAAAGTGATAACCCACATTTTCCTTGTTAAGAGAGAACAGCTTTTCCTGTCCTATATAATGTAGAAGTGAGTATATCATNACATATATATATAAAATTTATCTTAATAATAATAATAATGGTAATAATGTAACCTATCTACACGAAAGAAAGGCTACTACAGAAAGGTTAGAAACTGTAATTTTTATAAAGGTAGACCCAAATACTCTTAAAAAACATTCGCTCGATGTATTTAGTAATTATTGTAATAAAAATGTTTCAAATATTTAGGTTCTTCTGCTGCTGCTGCATCTGGCGGTGGAGGTGGTGGAGGAGGTATTTTTTTTAATACATTAAAATAATATTTATTTTTATTTATCTATTTACTTAACGAAAAATGAAAATCTAATTTTAACGCATAAATTAAAAGTTCTTCATTTGCTTGCTTCACAAAAGTTTTGATCTGAACTTTAAGTAAAAGAATATATTGGAGGTGAATGTAGAAATTTCTTTTACTAGGGATCTAATTAACAAATGCATTACACGAAAGAAAATGACTCGGAATGTATTTTCTGATTATGAGGTCTCAGGTTCGAAACCCACATTTGTCAAAAATTTATTTCTCTTCATTTTAATCCTTTTCTTAATCACTTCACATATCGGACATGAGAGTGGAAACTTCAGCAGTTTTTCAAAACGTAGTTGCTTTATTTTCAGTTCAATAGAAATGTTTGTTATGCATATTGCTATTCTTATTATTCGTATAATAATATTCACTTAAAATATTCAGCAGTTAATGTAATGTAAATAATCTAACTTATCTACGAGAAAGAGAGTCTACTACAGAAAGGTTAGAAACTGTAATTTTTTTTAAGATAGATCCTAAATACATTTATGAAAACATTCGCTTAAAGCATTCAGTGATTATTGTAATAATGAAAATGTACCTCAGCTGCACAAAAGGATATCATCTGCAAAATATTAGAAACTGTAATTCTTATAAAAGTATACACAAAATATTCTTATAATAATATTCAATTAAAATACTCAGCAGTTAATGTAATGATAATAATCTGACTTATCTACGCGAAAGAGAGTCTACTACAGAAAGGTTAGAAACTGTAATTTTTTTAAAGATAGATCCCTAATACATTTATGAAAACATTCGCTTAAAGCATTCAGCGATTATTGCAATAATGAAAATGTACCTCAGCTGCACAAAAGGATATCATCTGCAAAATATTAGAAACTGTAATTCTTATAAAAGTAAACACAAAATATTCTTGTAATAATATTCACTTAAAATATTCAGCAGTTAATGTAATGTAAATAATCTAACTTATCTACGAGAAAGAGAGTCTACTACAGAAAGGTTAGAAACTGTAATTTTTTTTAAGATAGATCCTAAATACATTTATGAAAACATTCGCTTAAAGCATTCAGTGATTATTTCAATAATGAAAATATACCTCAGCTGCACTAAAGGATATCATCTGCAAAATATTAGAAACTGTAATTTTTATAAAAGTATACACAAAATATTCTTATAATAACATTGACTTAAAATTTTCAGCAGTTAATGTAATAATAATAATCTAACTTATCTACAAGAAAGAGAGTCTACTACAGAAAGGTTAGAAACTGTAATTTTCTTAAAGACAGATCCTAAATACATTTATGAAAACATTCGCTTAAAGCATTCAGTGATTATTGAAATAATGAAAATGTACCTCAGCTGCACAAAAGGATATCATCTGCAAAATATTAGAAACTGTAATTCTTCTAAAAGTATACACAAAATATTCGTATAATAATATTCACTTAAAATATTCTGCAGTTAATGTAATGATAATAATCTAACTTATCTACGCGAAAGAGAGTCTACTACAGAAAGGTTAGAAACTGTAATTTTCTTAAAGATAGATCCTAAATACATTTATGAAAACATTCGCTTAAAGCAGTCAGTGATTATTGCAATAATCAAAATGTACCTCAGCTGCACTAAAGGATATCATCTGCAAAATATTAGAAACTGTAATTCTTATAAAAGTATACCCAAAATATTCTTATAATAATATTCACTTAAAATATTCAGCAATTAATGAAATGATAATAATCTAACTTATCTACGCGAAAGAGAGTCTACTACAGAAAGTTTAGAAACTGTAATTTTTTTAAAGATAGATCCTAAATACATTTATGAAAACATTCGCTTAAAGCATTCAGTGATTATTGCAATAATGAAAATGTACCTCAGCTGCACTAAAGGATATCATCTGTAAAATATTAGAAACTGTAATTCTTATAAAAGTATACACAAAATATTCTTATAATAATATTCACTTAAAATATTCAGCAATTAATGAAATGATAACAATCTAACTTATCTACGCGAAAGAAAGTCTACTACAGTAAGGTTAGAAACTGTAATTTTTGTAAATGTAGACTTAAATACTCTTAAAAAACATTCGCTCGATGTATTTAGCAATTATTGTAATAAAAATGTTTCAAATATTTAGGTTCTTCTTCTGCTGCTTCTTCTGCTGCATCTGGTGGTGGTGGTGGAGGTAATTTTTTTAATGCATTAAAATAATTTTTATTTTTATTTATCTATCTACTTAACGAAAAATGAAAATCTAATTTTAACGCATAAATTAAAAGTTTTTCATTTGACTCTTTAACAGAATTTTTGATCTGAACTTTAAGTAAAAGAATATATAGGGGTGAATGTAGAAATTTTTTTTACTTGGGATCTAATTAACAAATGCATTACACGAAATAAAATGACTTGGAATGTATTTTCTGATTATGAGATCTCAGATTCGAAACTCACATTTGTCAAAAATTTATTTCTATTCGCTTAATTAATTGTCTTAATCATTTCACATGCCAGATATGAGAGTGCAAACTTCAGCAGCATTTCAAAACGCAGTTGTTTTATTTTCATTTCAATAGAGATATTTGCTATGCATATTGCTTCATTGAGAATTTTCCAGATTTGCTGTTTTTCCTAATTTTTTTCACTTACTCTTGTATAGATTAAACGGAAGAAGATTTCCATCGCCTCTAACAAGTAAAAATTAAATAAAGAAGTAGATAATTAAGAAATAATTAAATAGAAACTACAAAATAACAGCAATAGAGAAGCTAATTTGAAAATAATAGATGTAAAGTTTAAAATTTCGCAAAATGGTAAAATATCCGACTTGTTAAGTCTACGCATATTATGTCTACGCAATTTTTAAAAAACTAATGGAAATATAAATTTTTTTAAAAAATATTTATTATTTGATTTGTTTCTTGAATTTCATGCACGCAAAAAAATTTATATAGAAAATATTTAACTTTATATCCCGTTATTTTTATTGTAAGCAGCGTCGGTAGAGGACGAGGAAATTTTAAAAGTCATTTATGTCCTAAAAAATTAATGATTTCTGTGTGAAGCGGTTAAGTTCTATTATAAAACAGCGACAAGTCATGTGACAAAGTTATAAACAAAAGGAATGAATAGTTTATTGTTTTAGCTACCATTTTATTTTAAAAATATAACTTAATAAGAATTTCAAAAATTAAATTACTTATGCCTTCTCTAAAAATAATTTTTTAATTATCTAAATTGTGTTTTATGTGTACGTTTAAGTGTTTAAAAATGAGAAACTTTTGCTTCCATTTTTCTATTTTTCAAGAATTCTAAAAAAAAAAGAAGAGATATTTTCTTTCGTGACCTAAAAACTCTGCAGCTGCGTGAAAAAAACTTCTGAATAAGGAATAGAAATAGTAAATTTTATAAAGATGTACCCAAAATATTCTTATAATAACATTCACTTAAAATATTCAGCAATTAATGTTATAGTAATAATGTAACCTATCTACTCGAAAAAAAGTCTACTACAGAAAGGTTAGACACTATAATTTTTATACAGATAGATCCAAAATATTTTTATAAAAACATTCGCTTAAAGCATTCAGCAATTATTGCAATAATAAAAATGTACCTCAGCTGCACAAAAGGATATCTTCTACAAAATATTACAAACTGTAATTCTTAGAAAGATGTACACAAAATACTCTTATAATAATATTCACTTAAAATATCAAGCAATTAATGTGATGATAATAACCTAACTTATCTACTTGAAAGAAAGTCTTCTACAGTAAGGTTAGAAACTGTAATTTTTATAAAGGTAGAATCAAATACTCTTAAGAAAAACATTCGCTCGATGTGTTTAGCAATTATTGTAATAAAAATGTTTCAAATATTTAGGTTCTTCTTCTTCTTCTTCTGCTGCTGCTGCATCTGGAGGTGGAGGTGGTGGTGGAGGAGGTAATATTTTTAATTCATTAAAATAATTTTTACTTATCTATTTACTTAACAAGTAATGAAAATCTAATTTCAACGCATAAATTAAAAGTTTTTCGTTTGCCTGCTTAACAGTATTTTTGATCTGAACTTTGAATAAAAGAACAGAAAGGAGGTGAATGTAGAAAAGATTTTTACTTGTGATCTTATTAACAAATGCATTACACGAAAGAAAAGCAATCGAAGTATTTCTGATTATGGAGTCTTAGGTTACGGATACGATTGAGAAAGATTCCTCAGCATTTCAAAATGCAGGTGTAGTTTTATTTTCACTTCAATAGAGATATTCGTTATGCATACTGCTTCAGTAAGAATTTTCCAGATTTACTTTTCTTAATTTTCCTACCTAGTCTTGCCTAGATTAAGCAGAGGAAGATTTCCATTGCCCTTAACAATTATTTTATTCACTTTAAAAATTAAACAAAGTTTTTTTAAAATAATTTTATTTTGATTTTTTTTGAATAATTTGATTTTTTTAAAATAAAGACTAAACAATAGCGGCATTTACGAAGCTAATTTAAAAATAATCGACGCAAAGTTTGCAAAATGGTCTGACTTGTTGAACCGGTATATAGTATAGATGGCACACATTTTTTACTGCTTTATTATGACTTTACGGATATAATCTTCCATTCCTATATTGCATACCTGCCAATTTTCACTTTTTCCGAGAATGGATTTTCAGAGTGGTTGTAAAACAATAAACGGAAAACAATCTGACTCAAAAATATATTTATATTTCGATCCTGTTGAAATTCGCTTGTACAAGGATTATTATGCTTTTATATATTTATTGTAATTATTTATATGTAGTGGTGGTCAAACTCATTTATAATTATCATTATAATTCAAAAAGTTAATTGGAATAACATGAGTATTGCTACCACTTTAAATATGAAAATAAAATCTTCCGGAAAATCAGGAAGAGTTGGCAGGTATGATATTGTATTCAAATGCCCAAAAGAAACTTCTTTGATAAAACTATCAGAATTTATTTTAGTGTATATCAGGCATTGTTGCATTTTTGTTATTTCTTGTTACTGTCTTGACTTTAAAGTATTTATTCAAGAAATGCGAGGAAAAATAAGCATCTACAAATGTTTCTATGCTTGAAATTAATATTTTTTGTACAGGTCCTGGTCCAGGATCAGGTGGTGGACCAGGCCCAGGATCAGGTGGACCAGGCCCAGGTGGATCAGGTCCAGGACATGGCCCAGGACATGCCCCAGGTGGACCAGGCCCAGGATCAGGAGGTGGACCAGGCCCAGGATCAGGTGGTGGACCAGGCCCAGGATCAGGAGGTGGGCCAGGCCCAGGATCAGGTGGTGGACCAGGCCCAGGATCAGGAGGTGGACCAGGCTCAGGACCAGGTGGATCAGGCCCAGGATCAGGAGGTGGACCAGGCTCAGGACCAGGTGGATCAGGCCCAGGACATGCCCCAGGCGGACCAGGCCCAGGATCAGGTGGTGGACCAAGCGCTGGACCTGTCCCAGGGGGTGGCGGCCTTGGTGGATTAGGAGGATTAGGAGGAGGACACGGACACAGTAAAGACCATTTTTTTATTACTTCACATTACTTTGTTGGAGAGGGTACTTAATGGAAAGGGTTAGTCCTATGTCACATCGCGACGTCACCATCGACACCTCTCCCAAAGCGTTCCAATATCAAAATGGAAACAAAGTTTAACATTTCGTTTCCTACTGAAACTGATGTGACATATGTTTTTAGTTTAATTTTAATAGCAAAATAGTTTGTTTAAAAATATTATTATTTGGATAGAAAATAATCAGTTTGATATAACGGAATAATTCATTTTCAGTTTAAGTCTTATTAAATTGTAAAGAAATGAAAGATTAATTATGAATTTTGCTTAATCATGTGCTTGGTCTCAAAAAATGGTTATGATTCTTATGGCACTCTTCAACATCTTATGAAATTTAATTTCTAACTCGCTTTTCGTCAAACTTATTACTGCTTTAATTTTTTTTTGTTAAGTTGAGGTTGAAGTTCATTTACGTCACACTAGAGCTGTACAATGGGTTATTGGCGACTGTCTGGGAAACATTCTTGAGGATGATCCGAAAACATGTCATTACAATTTTGATCGTCTGCAGAGGGGATGGCTCAGCTGCTTTGGTGGCTGGACGACTTACACGCGAAGTCGAGCACTTTACGGTAGAACAGTTTAACGAGGACCAATACCGCCCATCCTATATCCCTATGCAGACTGATCCAAGTGGTCACCCACCCGCACACTGACCGCAGCCAGCGATGCTTAACTTCAGCGATCTGGTGCGAACGTGTCTTGACAATCAGTCCACCGTGGGACTTTTTTTTTTTTTTTGGGAAAGGAACCAAAACTAATTGCGTGAGACGGAATGACTGTTGAAGCTATTCATGTGGGCTTGTAGCACAGAAAATAATTAAAAATGCAAACACAAATGATTTAAAAAATGAAGATGATTTAAAAAAAAGTTCTTTAACAGTTAAAGTTCGTGATTATCCGCTCCTTTTCTTGCAGGATAAATGTTTGCAAAATAACATATATTTTTCAAACCTTTAAAAAAAAAGAAGTGGAAATATTAATTACCAATATTTATGTGAAAAAATGACTAATTCTACTGACTCATTATAGAGTACACAAAAACACGTTTTTATAAATTCTCTGTAAAAATTACAAACTATGATATTTCTTATGCATGAAAATGTTGGTAATTCCATCAGAACAGGTTCGAGTTTATGAATTTACAAGCGGTTTTCATTATTAATAACAAGTAGATGCTATTAAAATTTTTCCATGAAAGGAATATATAAATATATAATTGAGTGAGTTTTATATAAGTATTAAAAAGTGATACTGAGTAGTATAATAGAAAATAGTTCTCTGATTATGTATGTATATATTGATTACTTAATAACTCACAATATATTTTAATGTTGGGCTGTATGAGGCATACTTATTTCTGGGAATTCATATTAACCCAAGAAGAACTCTAAGGAAATATCCAATCATTTATATAAATAAAATAAAATTCTTATATATTGTATATGAAGATAAACTAAAATAAAACAATTGCTGCTTGTCTGCCCGTCTGACTATATTGCGTTGAGGGTAAAATTATTGAAATAGGTAATAGTTCAAGTGCAAATAATATGAAATAAATAATAGTCCGTTAAAAAGTTATCTGTTCTCATTCTATTATTGTATTTCAGTTAATGTGTTCTGATACTGCAAGTGAGAATCCAGTTAAAATTAGATTCTTTTAAAGTACGATAAGTTATAGAACACATTTTTTTAAAAAAAACAATTACACTCTAATTAAACTGTTATAGACCAAATACACACCGATCGCACTGTTACATACTATTTTTAATTAATGAATAGTTATGATTAATTTCCTTTCGTTCGAGTTTTATACCTTATAAATTAATTTTTTTTTAATAGATATTAACCTTCAAAGAACCGCATTTAGACCAGCTGAATAGCAATTATCTAGTTCCAGCTTAAAGATTATTAAAATAACCAACATTTTAAGATTGTGTCTCTTGAAATATAAGTAACTTTTTTTTATTTTCTTCAGGATCATGGACAATTCAAACATAAATACATTTCAAAAGAATTAATTAATTTTTTCTTTTCCATTTTTAACTAAAAAACTACCTCTTAATTGTTAATTTCAAAGTTCTTCAATGCAGGTTGATTTGTATTTAGCACCATTAATGTATATTTTAAGAATTCATATCAAAACTCAGGTAATAAAAACCTTCACACTAGGTTATGAGTAACTGGAGATAAAAAAAGTAAACATCTGACTATAAATATGAACATATGACTAATCAGCATTGAGGTTAACCAATTAATCAGACCAAGCTCGGTGCGTGTTATTTCGGTAATGTAGAGTGCTTGCTCTTTAAGTAGGAGTCCAATTGTGGTCCAATTATTTTAAGGCATTTTTTTTAATTTTTTTATGGTTCTTTATGATTTCATTTAATAAATTCGTATAAGTATAAAACTTTTGGCATGAAGTGTTTTTATTTTTTTGCATTATAATCAATATTATAATTATTATCTTTGTGTATAAATTTTGCCTTTGTGTTTCAGCTAATGCTCTGATGGCTAAGCTATGCAATATGTTAGGTAAATATTTTTTCATATTTTCTTTATTTTTCTAAAGCTGCGCTTTTAAGATGAACGCAAAATGTTTCATTCAGTAACCCTTTACTTCATGTAAACAAACAGTAAAGTAACTAACTTTTTTGATATAAGTTACGATAACCTTTAACTTCATGTAAACAAGCAACAAAATAATTTTTTAAAAAAAATATAAGTCATGCAGAAATTAATTTTTCTGTAAAGTGGTTGTGATGATAAAAAGCAATTTCAAAATGTTTTTTTATTTTTTTAATTTTTTTTAACGGCAGGCCCCTGGGACATTGACCCATTGGCCTCAGGAATGCCAGAAGTGCTATTCTCTTCTCGTTACCCAGTGGGCACCTGTGGCTAAGCCACGGCGGTGGAGCAGCGTCGCCCACGTCACACAACCACAAACCCGTTTATAGGGCGGGTCACATTCGCACAATCACACACACAAAGGAGAAAGGACATAGAACACAGAGAGAGAGAGAGAAAGAAACATCCATGCTCTGACATGAAACATGAAAGAAATGACATGATGCTCTGACATGAAACATGACATGAAAGAAACACCCGCAACCATCGGCTCCGCAGTCAGGCACGCTTACCACTCGGCCACCTGCTGGGCAATTTGAAAATGTAAAAAAAGAAAATATACCCTTTAGAATGGAAGTAAAATTTTTTAACTTATTCTGAGATTTTTAAATTTTTTTTTTTAAATTTATTATTGTGATACATATTACTTAGAGGGATTGTGATGCCATAAGTTTAATTAGAAAAAAAAATACTCTTAGAATGGAAATAAAATTTCTTAGCTACTTTTGAATGATTTTTTTGGAAATTTCATTATTATTCTCAATTCATAAAATGTCATTTTTCGATTTGAAAGAACAATAGCTAACGATACCACAGTTTCAACATGTGACAGTTTACATGTGATGACATGTGACAGTTAGTACTGTTAGTATTTTTTTGATTGAGGAGAATAAATAACTATTTTTATTGAGAATAATTGGAACCATGGTAAATTCACCTGCAGCCCAAATTTAAGAATGAAATATAAAAAGTGGAAAAATGCAGATATTAAAAATACGATTTCTAAATGAAAGGAAAGTCGTCAATAATTACAACGAAATTCAACGGGTGAAACTCTAACCTCATTTTTCTTAGTTATTTTTTTTATTGATAATCAAGGTAACTTTACCCGCAACTCTAATTTCCGAACGAAAAAAAATGTACATTAAAAAAATGTATTCATATACGAAATGAAAAGCGTCAATAATTTCTACTGACAGTTCAATCGCCAGCTTTTACATTGATTTCGTTAAATTTATTTTTAATTTAAGAACCAAAGAAACTTTGTTTGGAAATCTAATTTTAGAACGAAGTAAAGGAAAAAGGATACAAATTTTAAAAATGTTACGAAAGAAATGGAATCAGTGGCTAACTACAAAATATTGAATTGGCAAAAAACTTTTTATCTGATTTCCTGATTTCAGTAAAAATATTTTTAATGAAATTCTCTAGTTGTTTAAATTTGAGAAAGAAGTAAAAAGAAAAGGATAAAAGTCTTACAAATTATATTTGTGTTTGAAAGGAAAGGCAGGACTAGGATAGCCTGGTCTGCAGGGAGCTGGACTCACGTTCGTAAGAACGGGAGCCGGCCGGAGACTTCCCGTGTAGTAAATGGTGACTGGTGCGCGTTAAATCTGTCGAGTCACAAAGTCCTTCATGTTCATATAGCAAATTATGCTTCTCGGGGTACTGGATTGGAGATTGATCATTCTCTGGTTCAGATCAAAATTACGATCTGTGGATGAATGAATGGGTTCGCTCTATAAGCAGGTGTGATGTATGGGTGTGGCAAAAGTCAAATGATTGGGCATAGATGGCGCCACTTGAAAACAAAAGCAATCTCACTCCTTCTCTTAATGGCCTCAGATAACAGCAACAAAGGAAAGGTGTCAGGGGCTTACGGCATAAATATTCTATCAGCAGAGAATCTTTAACCTCATTTCAGTATTAAAAGAGCGAAAGCAATATTCCTGCAACTGAAATTTAAAAACAAAATAAAAAGGGAATGCATAAAAATTTCAAAATTGTAATTCACAAATGAAATCATAGGCGTCAAAATTTACAGCCCTTACTTACACATAGGGAAAAAAAGCGATTTCTTTAAATCTTATTAGCGTTTATTATAGTCTTTAAAGAGTTTCAAATATATTGAAAGCGTAATAAATGAATTAAATATAATTTTTAATTGAAAAAAATATTTTTTCTTTCAGAGGGTTACTTGACCAGGTAGAAAAATAAAGGCAAAGGTTGAAGTTGAATTTGTCTCAATCCCCTTGATGAAACCAATGAACTGTACTTTAAATAATTGTAAAATGTTGTCAAATATTTAAAAATATCCAATATGTATTTTTAAATGTAATAAAAATGTATGAAACTATTTTTAGAAATGATATATGTCTTCTGTTTCAGTGATTTATTTTTCTTACAAAACAGTGGAATATAACTTTTAGACGTTTTTCCCGATGCTTTTTTCGACGACAACTGGCGTGAGATAGATGTCTTCCAAAAATGAGGACAACTTACGAAATACTTTTTCAAAAATAGATTAACCCTCAACCGACCAATACTGCATATAAGTGGCATAGAACTTTAACTTACTGGGTCAAATTAAGCCGCGCGTACAGCTGCAAATTTTATTGCTAACGTTCTAACTCTATAATTAATATATTAATAATATTTAATTATTATTTTAATTAATATTATAATTAATTGTTAAAAATGAACCTGATGGGAAATAGACTTAAAATACTTTCGGATCGTTAAGGGTAAAACATGCAAATCTTAATTTAAGCGGCAACCCCGAGTGTGTTTGGCGTGGTCATTAGCGCTACGTGATAGAAAGCAAAAAAATTAGTAGACCTAGGGGTCGGGGTTAGAACCCGGTCAAGGGTCAATTTTTAATTTTCTTTTTTATTTATTTTTCAATATTGTAACGTTAATAAGGTATTATCCGTAAATTGTTTATTTTTCTTTTTTATAAGAGCGAGTGATAGCTTAAAAATGGATAAATTTTGGCTCATATACTATGCATATAAACGACCATATACATATATTACCTATAACTTTAAAACTCGGTAAAATAATATAGTTTTAAATATTTTACAATCGTATCAAAAGAAATAATTATAGAAAAGTTAGGGGGCCCAATTAAATGGCGTAAAATACGGTTCTATGTAATAAGTGCCTGAAAGCATTTTATAAGTGGCAACTCCGTGTGTGTGTGGTCTGGCTATATAACTCGGTTAAAGGTCTATTTTTAATTTCCTTTTAAATTAATTTATTTTTTAATATTGTAGCTTAAAAAAAGTATTATTTTTCCATAAATTATTATTTTTCTTTCTTATAAGAGCGAATAATAGCTTAAAAATGGATAAATTTCGGCTCATATACTGTGCATATAAATGATCCCATATCTCCCCTTAATATTTACCTATAACTTTAAAACTCGGTAAAGTATTATACTTTTAAATATTTTACAATCGTATCAAAAGGAATAAAGATAGAAAAATTAGGGGGCCCAATTAAATGGCGTAAAATACGGTTCCATGTAATAAGCGCCTGAACGCACTTGAAGCACTTTATAAGTGGCAACTCCGTGTGTGTGTGGTCTGGCTATCAAACTCGGTCAAAAGTCAATTTTCAATTTTTTTTAAAAATTAATTTATTTTTTAATATCGTAACGTAAAACAAGTATTATTTTTCCATAAATTATTATTTTTCTTTCTTATAAGAGCGAATAATAGCTTAAAAATGGAGAAATTTTGGCTCATATACTATGTATATAAATGATCCCATATCTCCCCTTAATATTAACCTATAATTTGCAAACTCGGGCAGCCAATATTACATTTTGAAAAATCGGGACATGTCCTTTCTTATTCCTTCCTTAAGCTTTGTCCTTTCGTATAGTTTCTTATCAATTACCATAATTATTATACAATATTATAAAATTTTTAAATTTTTTATAAAATAACTTATTGGACAATGGATTACTTGCATCGTTTTATATAACAATGAAATCAGTGTAATTACTAAAATTTAGAACAATTTTAGAAATGCTGAAATGGGGAAGCTTTTTTTTTGTAATATGTAAATAACTTCCTGTATATCAATTATTTTTTGTCTCCGAAAAGTTATTGAATTCTATTAAATTCGTATTCAAAAGCGCGAATCAAATCAGTCGTTTTTTTTAACGTAATAATTGACGGGGTGCTTTTTTCCGTTCTCTGTTCTCCTATTCTCTTTTCAATGGTGCTTTTCCTTCCTATCCTTTTTACGCCCATTGGTTCTTCACTTTCTAAGGGGCAGTCCACAAATGTTTGGAGGGAAAGGAGGTATTTTTTGAAATAGTGACAGTTTGGGAAATGGGGGAGCAAGAAATACGACGTAAAACATTTTGTTTGAAACAAAAACATATAATATCAGGGAATAAAATATTTCATATTATTTATTTTTATATATTATTTTTTATATTGCATAAAAATTAATTCACATATAATCATTGATGAAGCTATTTTTCAAAATAAAATTGAAAATGAAACTTAAAGTGTAACATAATGCTGTCTCAGAACAAAAAGTGTATGTTTTTGTAATATACTGAGACATCAAGTAAAAAAAAAAAGAAAATGAAACACAATAATTTAACTTTATTTTTCGTTTTTACGAGGTTCTGTTTCATATATACTAAGGATATTTTTTCCAATCTAACAAGAGAGTTTTAAGCAATGAATTTTAGATGGCAGCACCAGACTTTAAATTAAAGGACGGCGAAATATGCTTTAATATTAGAGATTAGAAAGTTATAGTTTTCATGAAAAGAGGGTCGAAATTTTCTGTCGGTTCGAGATGGTATAATTGGACATTACATATTAATTTTGTGACCTTTTTTAGTGCAAAATGCACATTAATGTTTTCAACATTTTTATGAAAATAGGATCGAAACGAACTTTCTAGTCGATGTGTAAATATTCTTAAACATTTTATGTTTGTGTTGTTGTTTTTTAGTGCAATACTCAATAATACTCAATTTTTAGCCCACGTGACCCGAAAGATCCTTTTTGCCCTCTATCTGACACCACATTTTAATTTCATCCAAAAAAATCACATCTTGGCATAGACACTGTTTCTTATAAATATTTTTAGTAATTTATATGATTTTTTGAAATCAGTAACTTAGTTTTTGCGGACAAACTGGCTAAATTTCTCTGCCAATTAGATTGTTCTTAACAGAAAATTATTTAAAAATACAGGGAGAAAAAAGTTCTGGTATAATTGGTAATGGCATTTAAACACTGCATGGTAATGACATTCCTGGTAAAAAAAAAAAAAAAAGGAAAAAAAAAAGAAAGAAAGAAAGAAAAACATAGTTCTCGTAATAAAACCAAAATATATGACATTTAAATCATTTATTTGGGCACTTTTCTATTTATATTGTAACGATTTACCGAAATATCTCGATAAATTTAAAATTAACAGTTCTTATACAGCACAGTTCTTATGTTACTGTTACAGTTCTTATGTAACTCACAGTTCTTACAGTTTACAGTGCTTATTAAAATTACAGTTCTTATGAGCAAATTTAGTAAAAAATGCAAAATTGAAAAGTAAATTAAACCAAATAAATGGCTTTTATGTCATACTCTAAGATAATAGGACTATACTCTAAGAAACAAACTATAATATTTTGATAAATGTAAAGAGAGTATTCGAATTTCATAAATAAATGAATTTATGCATATATTTTTTTACAGATAAATTTAACTTTTAAAAGAGAGTTAAATTTATCTGTTAATTCATGAAAAGCTTTCTGGAGCATTAAATGAGGTGCGATAATTACATTTGTATTAAATATATAAATAATTCAAACTGTTTTTTGGAGAATTTATATACTTTATAAATAATATTTTTCTTTACTCGTCCAATTCCGAAAGAATAAATTGGAATACGGTGAAAAATTTTGTTCACTTCAATTGAATGACTTATAATTGTTTTTATATCTATTGTGAAAAAAATATTCAGCACTTATTATTATAGTAGAAATTCTGTAAATATTAATGAAATATGTTAGAGAAATATGTATGTAGAGCATTTTTTGCGCGACCAAAAAAGTCGACCAATTACCATGGATAGTTGACGGAGGTTAAAAAATTTTTCCACTTCAATTGAATGACTTATAATTGTTTTTATTACTATTGTGAAAAAAATATGCTGCACCTATTATTACAGTAGAAATTCTGTAAATATTAATGAAATATGTTAGAGAAATATGTATGTAGAACTTTTTTTGCGCGATCAAAAATGTCGACCATTTACCATGGATAGTTGATGGAGGTTAAAAATTTTGTCCACTTCAATTGAATGACTTATAATTGCTTTTATTACTATTGTGAAAAAAATATACTGCACCTATTATTACAGTAGAAATTCTGTAAGTGTTAATTAAATATGTTAGAGAAATATGTATGTAGTGCATTCCTTGCGCGATCAAAAAAGTCGACCAATTACCATGGATAGTTGATGGAGGTTTTCTTCAACCGAATGGAATTGCTTTAATAATGCTTCACGTGTTAAGGTCCCAAAGTTTGTCTATACGGAATTTCCTGAATTTTTTTTTAAAGGTTTGGTATGTTTAGTAATTGTTTATAAATCCCGTCAAGTTTAAACAAAAGATATTATATCTTATTACCAAGAACAAATAAGGAACAAATAAATTACGATCATTAAAAATAATTTAAAAAACAAGAAAGTTAAATGTGTTTGATTTATTAAATAGTGTTATTTCAAATCGCATTTTAATATATTAAAAAAACAGTTAGCCTGTCGGTCTGTTTGTTTTAAATTTCCAAGTAATGTAATAATAGGAAAAAACTATATTTCAATAATTTAAATTCTTTTAAAAGAGAAATTTAATAACATTTGAAGAAACAATTTAAAAACAATTAAGGAACAAATAAATTACGATCATTAAAAATAATTTAAAAAACAAAAAAGTTAAATGTGTTTGATTTATTAAATAGTATTATTTCAAATCACATTTTAATATATTAAAAAAACAGTTAGCCTATCGGTTTATGCTAATAAAAATATTTGTGCAGGTCCATGTTTATTTTAAATTTCCAAGTAATATAATAATAGGAAAAAAAACTATATTTCAATAATTTAAATTTTTTTGAAAGACAAATTTAAAAACATTTTAATTTTATTCACAATATTACTAATTAATTGTTTTTTAAAAATAATTTTTAACTAAATTAAAAACTTAGTTGGTTATTGCTTTAAAATGATTAAATCAACTTATAATTAACTAGCAGTCAGTTCAAGCGAAAACACTTCTTCACTTACATAAGAAATACTTAGATTAATTTTTAATAATTTCTCTAATACTACGATT